CTATTATAGCTATATATAGTAACACCTTGGTTAATAAGTAGACACTGTTATTATATACGAATTTAGCTAGCTATAGGAGGTTGACCTAGTCGTTAGGGTTCTCGTTAATGTAACTACGCAGGTACTGCTATAGGGTAGCATTCTGCCTTTTAGTCTAACTATCTATTTGCGGATAGAATGCTATAGATAGGCGATGCTTAAGTCTTAGCTATAGGCAAATCTTACTCTAATAGTAAGATATGAATGTCGAGCCCCGGTCGGAGACTATCCCCTTAGGGGTTCCCTAATAGCTATAGAAGATGTTGTTCTATAACGACTTAGCTAGGTTAATAGCCGTCTAATCCTTTCGGGTAGGAATATAACGAGCGCCCTTAGTAAACCGATCTACGACAACTAGGATAGCATTATATATATCCTTACTACCCCTACGCTTAGTAGGCGGGAGGCCTGTAATAAAATCTATTATAAGCTTAGCAAATAGCTTCTTTAGAATAGGGAGTGAAGACAACTCGCTAAATAGTAAGTGCTTTAGTGCTTTGACTCGTTAATATACGGCATACGTGTTTACGTAGTCCTTTATATCCCGCTTACTATTTAGCTAGTAGTATATGCGCAATAGTAGCTCGTACGACCTCTCTATACTATAGTGACCGGCAAGCTTACTATTATAGTGTTGCTTAAGAAGCTCTTATCGGATCGAATGTTTAGCGGGGACATAGTATCTGCCCTTAAACTTTAAATAACCTTTGTTATCGATCGACTAGTTGTTACTCTTACTAGATCGAGTCTTTCGCCTACTTACAAGCTTGTCTATACGTTTAGTAGCAAAGGCGTCCCTCTACTAAGCCCGTAACAGCTTATCTATAAACGATTGACTATCCCTATTTGTAAGGTTATTTAATAGTACCCTCGCTATTAAACGAGGTACGCATTGTATGCATCTAATAGCACTAGTAGCCGGATTAACTGCATTAGTGCTTTGATCGCTGTTACTGTATATAGCGATATCGACTAGGGAGTTATTATAACTTCTCCTATCTATATCCTTAGCTCTTGCCTTAATACGTACTATTAATATAGCAAGAGCATTAACATACTTCAAGCCGTCGCGGAGTCCGGTAAGCTGCTTATCCTACGCTTACTTATTAACAATACGGGCTATAGCAATCTTATACTGCAGGGTTAGAAACAAAGAATTAATGTATTAGGTTTCGCTGTCGTAATTAGGTCGCCTCGATAGGCTATCGGCAGGGTTACTTACGCCTAGCCGGTATAATATATCAAAATCAAACCTAGCGAGGTAGACGGCCTATCTAGCCTATCGACCTATAACCCTAGTAACCTTAGTAATGCTACGGAGGTTATTATAGTCTGTATAGACCTGAATAGTATACTAAGCACTATCGAGATAGTAGCGCTAGTACTTAAAGGCCTCGACAATAGCTAGGAGCTCTTGCTTATATATCTCGTAGCGACGCTCTATATTAATTATCTTCCTCGAGAAGAAGGCAATCGGGTACTAGTAATAGTTATTATCTAATTGCTAGGACATAATAGCCGATATAGCGAACTGTAAAGCGTTAGTCTTAATTCGGATCTGCTTGTTTAGCACGAAATAGTATAACAAGGGGACTTTAGTAAAGCGTCGCTTTAGACCGTTAAAAGCGGCTTGTACTCTATTAGTCTATTTGAATTCTCTAGTCGGGTTAGCCTTAGTTTTAGTAAGCTTAGTTAGTAGCATTACGTGCCGCGAGTAACCTTCGATAAATCGACGGTAGAAGTTAGCAAAACCTAGGAATAATTGAAGCTCTTTAATACTAGTAGGCGTCGGCCACTTAGTAATAGTCTTAATCCGATTAGGATTAGCCTTAATACCCTCGGTTAACACGAGGAAGCTAAGGAAGGATACCTCTTTAGTAGCAAAGGTGTATTTAGAAGGCTTGCAATATAGGCTATAGGCCTATAGGCGGTCGAGGACCTTTCGTACTATAGCCTAGTGTTCTGCAATGTTAGGTAAGTGCGTATAAACTAGGATGTCATCTAGGTAAACTATATAGAGGTGATCTAATAGGCCTAATAGGGCCCGATTGATATAGGACTAGAATATTGTAGGGGCGTTTACTAGCCTAAATAGTATAACTAGATACTCGAAATAGCTATAGCGGGTACGGAAGGCTGTTTTCTATTTATTACCCTTACGGATGCGGATGCGATAGTATACATCCTTAATATCTAATATAGTATAGTAGTAAGCACTAGAAAGGCGATCGAGGGTCTTATTAATAAGAGGAAGTAGACAGCGATCTTTAATAGTAACAGCATTAAGCCTACGATAATCGATATAGAGGCGTAGGCTACTATCCTTCTTTAGTACGAACAGGATAGGGGCACTAGTAGGGCTGTTACTATACCGTATCCGGCTATTAGCTAGGTTTTCCTCTAGGTACTTACGCAATATAGCAAGCTCTCGTTTACTAAGGTTATAGAGGGGGCTAAAAGGAACCTCCTTGCCCTCTATAATGTCAATCTTATAATCCGTCTCCTTAAACATAGGCAACGTCGATGCTAAGTAGTGTTTGAATATATTAATATAGGTCTCTCGAATAGGCTCCGGTATACGCTTAAGCTATTTAGGGTCTATGCTATTAGGGGGCACAAGTTTATCGTTATTACTACCGAGCAGGTCGGCAGTTAGATTAGCTAAGGCGGAGGCTAGTATTAGGTTACTAATAAATAGGACCCTAATATTATTAGGACACTCGCTAATATCGATGTGTTTAATATCCTCTTTCCGAGCGATTCTAAATCGCTATTGCTAGCTGCCTAAGTCTATAACTATAGCATAGTACTTAAGAACAGGGTTGCTAATAACAATGTTAGATAGGAGGCTGTCTATGTCTACCGCGTAGGCAGTAAAGTTTAGTAGGCGCTTATTGCCGAGGTCGTCCTTTAGGGCTATATAGACATAGTAGGCCCTATAGGTTAAGTGCCGAGCGTTATTAAACTAAGCAAGGGTTAGCAGGTTAGTCCTAAGCAGTTATCGAAGGTCTAATTGCTTAGCTAGGCGATAGCTAATAAGGGCACTAACTGAATTTCCTAGATCTAGTATAACCTTAGTCTTGTAGTTAGTCCTATACGTATCCGATACGAGACAGGTACATATAATAGCTAGCACAATGTCGATAGTCTTACGCCGTACAAGGCTAATAGTTAGTGCAGCGCTTACTCTTTTTTCGACTAATAAGAAGGTTAGCCTATAGGGGTAGCGTTAGCTACTGAAAGGTGCTTTCGGTATTTAGCGGTAGTACGGTCGATTCGGGCCTAGTCCTTAGGTTTATCGTATTAGCCTAGTAGATAGCTAGTGCTATTACAATTGAAGCACTTTAGTCCGGTTAGGGGATTGCTGTAGCTGTTGCCGCTATTGTTAGCCGAGCGATTAGTACTATAGGGATACGAGCCCCTTCTACGGCCCCTATCGCGGCCTCCTCTATATAGCCGCCGGCTACGGCTTCTTCTACGATCGTTACTGTTCCTATTGTTAGCATTATTGTCTTAGTAGGAACCTTAGTTTCCTCCGCGGCTACGGTTGCTACGGTTGCTAGTAGGTCGGATCCTTAATTCTAGTCGTTACTAGAGCTAGACAGCTCGTTCGGCAGTTTCGACTTTAACTATAAACTGAATACGTATAAGATTGGCCTGTTTAAACACACGGCGGCGGTCTAACTTAAGGACCAATTCCTATCTCAATTTAGGGCGTATTTCGGAGATCTAGATAGAATCAGTTTTAGTCGGGAGGTCGTCTTCGAGGGTCTTTAAATAGGCCTTAAATAAGCGAGCCGATTAATTAGTCTTTTACTTAGCTCGAAGGTACTAGTCCTAAGCGTATTGTTGCCTTAGTATAGGGTTTCTAAGGGTGTCTAGTATAATAGTTTTGTAGGTCTGCTACTAAACAGTAGTCTAGTTATTAAGGGAGTTAAAATAGTTATCCTAGGTGCGTTTTAGGTCGCCGTTAATGTACTGCATAGTATAGACGACTAGTGAATAGTCATTTAGTAGAGCCCTTAGTGCGTTTCGTTAGTTAAGCTTACAGTTACGGATATAGTCGTTATATTGCTTTCGACTAGAGCCGTTAAATATAGTATAGTCCTTAAGTTTAGTATCCTTCTCCTAGATTAGGACTAATAGTAAGGAAGGGCCTACTATCGGCTTAGTATTGGTTATTAGGGCCTCCTAAAGGCGGCGAATTTCGAGGAGGTTATCCTTTAGCTATTATTCTTAATATAGGGTAGTAAGCCTGTTTTAGGTAGCTTCTTAGAGTCTCCCTACTAGTTAGGGGCTAAAGGCTAGCTAGCTATATCGTCGGTTAACAATATTATTAAGAATGTCGTTAACAGGCAATTCTAGATTATTACCTAGAATTATAGGTTCTTCTTTAATAGGCTCTCCGGTAGGCTCTTTAGTAGGAGGCACTTTAGTAGGCACTTTAGCGGGAACTGTGCTACTAGCGTTGTTATTGCTAGCGCTGCTAGCGGTAGCACGGTTGTTGTTGCTTCGTAATAAGCCGGCTATTATAAGGGGTAACACTAATAATATATTATAGGCCCCTAAGATGCGGATATAGCGGAGTTAGTAGATATCGGCTTAGTGCGATTAACTCGGTATAATAGGCTATATAGAAGGCCTTACTTAATGATTGGTACGGTTGTTTCGATAGAATGGTACGTATAGGTCCCGTTCTTCGGGCGCAATATAGTTAGATTAGTTATTATAGCTATACCGCTAAAAGCTTAAAATAAGGACTATCTAGCTACTGCCCTTAAAGGGTAGATCGAATACTGTATAAGAAGGGTATATTAGTAGGTAGATAGGGTAGTAGTAGGTACGAGTAGTATTCGATAAGGAGCTAGGAGGAGAGGGAGGAAGGTAGGAGAGTTGGCCCAACGCCAAGCGCCAAGCCCTGCCTGAGGCATTAAGACCCTAGCTTCACTCGGCCTAGTTACATGCCAATCACGTGTAGCCTCTTTGGCCCTAACAATAGTATTCGCTATTAACCTACCTCGATTACTTCTACGCGCTTCTAACCCATTCTTAATACGATTTTGTATAAGGAAGAGGTAGAAACACGACGAAATTAAGGGATACTTGTACGCCGCGGTATCGCCTTCGATTGCCTAAGAAACACCGACTGATTGTGATTATAATCATATAATTATATACATAACAATCACATCCACAATCATAGTGATTGTGAGTGATTAGGTAATTATAACAATCAACAATCAACAGCTATAGTCTTGCCTCCGAATTCTCCTTTCTCTCTTCCACAAGACTTTCTAGTCTAGTCATCAACAGTGGCAATGCTGGGTCAGAAAATCCATCGAATGAATGAATGGAGATACCCGAACATCTTCTCAAGGCCTCATCCTCAAGACCGCCTTGTTAGGATTCAAGCCACTGAGTGTCACGGAGACGACGAAGCACCCACTGTCTGTGAGTCAAAGTCGCCGCACGATTGCTACGCTGGAAACCATCACTCCTCTCCCGGTGCACAGCTGCCCGGGCAGACCCAGGTTTCCCGTCTAGAACGAGCCCTAATACCCTGCATCGTCATCTGATCGATCGTAGAACACCTGAATGCAAGTCACTGATCTTCAACACTAATCTCAGAGCACGTCACCCGAACAATTGCATCGTGCCACCTGAAAATTCATCCCTCGATCGAACGACTGGAGACCCAACAGCCCGGGAAAGTTCACAAGAGTCTCGATCTCAACTTGCCGACATTCGACACCCAGCTGGCTGGATCCCACAGGAAATCCTTAGGCAAGGCTACCTTACCAAGCTGCACAGTAGATCTTTCCCGAAGATCTTCGCTGGCATTCAGAAGCTTTCTAGACGTGGTGATGAGAAGAGAATACTAGACCTGCGATCCCAAAGGAGGGTAAAGAGGGGAGATGGCTACTGGACATGATGCCTTTCGAGCAGTGAAGACGATAGAAGGTGTATCCAAGACTCCAGCTCCAACGATTGAAAGCGATCGATTCACGCTCGCATCCCTAATAACTGCCGATATGGATCGCTGCTGTTTTCAGCGCTTTCTTCGTTAGCAGCGTCAACAATTGCGACCTGATTCTGGAGCGAAGCAATCAAATCTACGCTTCGCTCCTCACCATCCCATCTCGACTGACTGAATGCGAAGGGATTAGATCGATATTTGGGATGGGATACCACCACCACGTTCGTAGCGAGCACGCAATCCGACCTTCGTCGTCAAGAGAAAGACAAAATCACGTTGCTAAAGACAGGAGAACATTGTCGATGTACTACACTGCGGAACAACTTCCATCGCCTCTCTCAACGAAAGAAGCACCGTATTCTCAGTCGATCGATCCATCAATCCATCAACACTTTTCGCGCTTCGCATACATATCGAATTTTCATGACAGCAGTTGCAGAGATACAAGAGCAGCTTGTTTGACTGACTGTGCAAGTGTATCGAACCCCGAAGTTCAAACAAACCTCTCCATCTGTTCTAGAAAGAGTCAAGAGAATATAATTGGTTCATTTATATATATGCTTGTTGATTGTCGCGGTTCGATCATCGCGTTTCCTCCCGTAGAATCATATCGAATCGTACATTCGCTCCTCGGGATGGAAATCAAGATCCTCTAGTCCATACAAGAGGGATTATTTCACACAAGGAGAAGTTCGTGCTCGGGATTTATGGATTGATGGGTGTCTCGGCGCGACTGGAAATAGTAAAGGAACGTTTCTTCGAGTTCGAGCGACGGTCTTTCATTGAATCTGAGATACACGCTGACTGACCGGCTGTGAAGTTGTGTCGCTAGCTCATCTCGCATACCGTAGTACTAGGATATCAGAGTTGAATGCATAGAAAGATCTCGCGACCGTTATTTTCTATAGTGCGCGATTTCTTCCCTTCAATCTAAGCCACATCGATGCAGGCAAGTGATAAAAGATGCCATTCCCTTGCTCGACGAGTCCATCGAACTGACCCGAGCTTCAATCTCGAAATATCTGCATTCAAACTACCTCACCTACTCTGTAAGTCCCGGAGTATCCTCGATTTTAAAAACATATTTCACAGCCGAAGCCCTCCCCTCCTTAAGATTCCGCAATCCCTGCTCAACACCTTCCAGCCCACCAGGTATAACTTCTTGCGGCTGAGCTTTGAACCATCCCTCTTGCAACCCTTTGGCGATATACCGGAAATACACGTATCCAAAGTCTTTGAGATCGTCAGGGAAGCCGTGCACGGATCCGACCGTGGTGAGGGTGTGTCGGATTTTCCCTGGGAGATCGTATTTCTTGCCTGGTAAGACGAATGTCACTTGTCCGGTTTCTTGAGCGAGGACTTGGGCGAGGTTTTGGACGCTGCCTTTTTCGCTGACGGCGTCGAAGGCGTATTCTAGCTTTTTGTCTTGTGCTGCTTCTTTGAGATTTTTGACGACTTCGTCGTTGCCGTTTCGGTAGTCGATTATGGTGTCGCCTTTCCTTCGATCGATGTATTTCTCAACGTGGGCAGCGCCGTTTCCTGCGACGCAGAGCAATGGGTGGATATTCGCGCGAGTTGCAAGTTGTACGGCGTAGGAACCTACTGCAGATGCAGCGCCGTAGATGATTAGTGGTAAGGGGTTTGAGTCTTTCGGTCGAGGGAGGAAGGGCGGCGGAAGCTGGAGTCGGGCGAAGAGTCCTACAGCGGCTGTGAGTGCTGCGAGAGGAATCGCGGCGCCTTCTGTGAGTATGTCAGTCAACGGTACTTCAAGATTTCATGGTATGATCCATGCCTTGGAAGGATATATTCTCTGGCAGGTGCGCCGTTGTCGCGGCCCATGAAAGAGCATATTCTGCGTAGCTTCCTCCCGGCTTGAGCATTTCGTGGAAGGCAAAGACGCGATCGCCGGGCTTAAACTCAATGACGCCCTCGCCGACCTCGTGCACAACGCCTGAGATGTCATCGCCTTGATTCGCAGGTTGGGCATCTCGCATTGCTGCGCGCTTCCAGTCTTTGGGGTTGCTACCACTGTATACTACCTTTGTGACCACTTGTCCTGGTCCTGCTCGTGGTACTGGCACATGGTGAATCGTGACCTTGGGGCCTTTCGCAACGATCGCTTCCTTCATCGTAGAAGCGCTCCTGCTCTGCGTGTGGCTTGCTAGCTGTGATAGTCTTCGCGTGGCCGACATTCTGAAGTGATTGAGCATTCTCAGGGAAGACTCAGGGAAAGCAGAAAGGGAGTGTATTCCATCAGACACGAGTCGGATCAGGCGAGTTGTTGGCGCTCAATGGTTCTTGTTCCTGCATAGACCTCCACCTCGAGCTACAGATCAGGGGACCTTTGCCGTGGTACCGCAATGCCGCAATGGAGACGCCGAGCACGTCATCGTCGTCGTCCTCACGGTTTCATGGACTTCTGCCATCGTCGTCCTCTTTCGTTTGATCGATCACAGCGGTTTCCAGCAAGGCAGGCTCCGGCCATCTCTGGGTGTGCATTGTACCATGGAGCTGGAAGACGGACACCAAAAAACTGGCTCAGCCCACGCGACGGGCGTGCGGGGGTCGCACGTGAAAATGGCCAGGGCTTTGGGTGAGTGAGAACGACCGAGGACGGCGACCAAAGGGTAGGGACAACGATGGCCATGGTGCCGAGTGTTTCCATAACACAACAATCAACAGACCATACGATCAATGTAACGCAATATGCGAAAGATGCATTGATCAGGGCCTTATGGAGGTGTCTTATGGTGCCGCAGGGGCGGATAGTGGAGTCGAAAGTGTCGGATGGATCTCTGTCTCTGGGGCAACTGCCTCTCGTTTACTCTTGGCGTCGGTTTCAGTGCACCAACAGCCAACAGCCCTCGAACCTCACCTCACCGCACCGCACCACACCGCACCGCACCCACCGACCGCCAACAGTACCGCTCGCTTGGATAAGCTGCGCGACATCATCCTCGACCGCATCAACAACACATTAACGCACTGTAGCCTCTACACAACATCGCCGCGCCTTTCGCATGGCCCAAGGCGTGTAAACAACGAGCTTCGCGGCGCGGAGAAACAATCGAGGCAGCATGGCTTATGTGGCCAATGCGGCCGGCCACGCAGGCGCGTCGTCAATCAGCGTATGCGTGAGAGTGCGTCCCTTCACGATCCAAGAGGCGGCGCAGCTGAACAGATGCGACGATGGGCCGGTGTACTTGGGCGAAGGCTCGCTGGCTTCTGCCCCTAAGCCGCGGCTGGGCCAGAAGGGCATTCGGAATGTGATCAAGGTGCTCGACGAGAAGACATTGTGAGTCCCCCTTCGTCTCAATGCATGTGTTCTTGGCTAACGCGCGACCAGAATCTTCGATCCTCCAGAAGACAGTCCCACGCAACGATTCGGTCGGCAGCTGATGGCCCAAGGCAAGCGCGCAAAGGAGGCTACATTCGGCTTTGACCACGTCTTCGACGACAATGCCAGCCAAACCGATTTGTATGCAGGCACCACCAGAAGTCTACTCGATCGCGTCTTGGATGGCTACAACGCGACCGTCTTTGCCTACGGCGCGACCGGCTGCGGCAAGACGCATACCATCACCGGAACCTCAGCACACCCCGGAATCATCTATCTGACTATGCAAGAGCTGTTCGAGAAGATGGAGGAGCTTCGAGAGAGCAAGGAGGTGACCATCACGCTCTCTTATCTCGAAATATACAACGAGCAAATCCGCGATCTTTTGGTCGACGATCAAGTTGACGAGAATGGCAAGCCAGTCGCCAGGCAGAATTTGATGCTGCGCGAGGATGCCGATCAAACTGTATCCGTGGCTGGCCTCACGTCACACAAGCCGCAAGATGTCGACCAAGTCATGCAAATGATCGTTCAAGGAAATGCAAAGCGCACTCAATCGCCGACAGAAGCCAACGCCACATCGTCCCGCTCGCATGCCGTGCTGCAAGTCAATGTCGCATCGAAGGATCGGAATGCCAGTGTGAATGAGCCCGTCACCTTCGCCACCCTGTCCATCATCGATCTCGCTGGATCGGAGCGCGCATCAGCAACGAAGAATCGTGGTCCACGGCTCACAGAAGGCGCCAATATCAACAAATCCCTCCTTGCGCTGGGCAGCTGCATCAATGCGCTGTGCGACCCCAAGAAGAAGAGCCACGTTCCATATCGCAACTCCAAGCTCACCCGCTTGCTGAAGTTCAGTCTGGGCGGCAACTGTCAAACAGTGATGATTGTCTGTGTCTCTCCAAGCAGCGCCCACTTCGACGAGACGCACAACACATTGCGCTACGCCAACCGCGCCAAGAACATCCTCACCAAGAGCATTCGCAATGTCTACAATGTCGACCGCCATGTCAAGGACTACCTTAAGAAGATTGAGGAACAGCGGCAGCTCATCGAAGAGCTCGAAGCCAAGCTCGCCGATGGAGTCAACACGGCAGCGAACAAGCTGCGCAAGGCCGAAGTGAAGCTTGAAGACATAGGCAAAGAAGGCATTGAGCGTATCCGTGCCTCCTATGAGCACTCCGCCGGGGAGCGACACGAGCGCATCCGAGACACGTGCAGACTCCGTCAAATCGAGCGTCGCATCAGTGCCATCAGTGCATGGGTGGGCGCCTTCGACCAGGTTTCCGAGACGCGGGAGGACGAAGAGCCACCCGCTGCCCTGGTATCCATGCGCCAAACAGCCACCGGCATCCTTGCAGAGCTCGAACATAGCCGACAGCACTATCATCAAAAGCTGCAAAAGAACAATTGGGCTCGTGCTATCGACACTGCTCTCCAGTTTGCTCTTCAGCAGCTGCAGAACAACGAGGCCTTCCACAAGGGCAGTTGCCACGAAGCCACCATCCTCAAAGAAATGGAGATCCTCAAGCAGCGCTCCGAGATCGACATCCACATTGCAGTCCTCGAGCAAGAGAAGGTCGGTGAAGCGTCGCTGATGCAGGTCATGCTCACTACTCAGTTTGAGACCATGGCTATCATCAACCAGCTTCTGCACATGAGCGAGGAGGAAGCAATGCAGGCAGGCCGCGACGTTATGGGCAAGCTGATGCAAGCCTGCCTCGATGCTACTGGCCAAATCATCAAGCCCGACGGCGGCCTTCAGATCACGCAAGCAGTGAAGCCGACGAAATCGGGCACACCCAGAAAACAGAAGGCGCTTCTTGGTCCCTCGCCACTCAAGCACAAGATCCGGACGTCGACATCCTCACGATCCTCGGTCCTCGATCACGCTTCCCTATCCAACCCACCTCGTCTCTCAGCGGTGCCGACACGCATCGCGGAAGAGTCACAATCATCGTCACCACGCGTAGGCTCTAGCCCTGCCCGCGGAGCGCACGCGAGTCCTAAGAGGCGCGTGAAGCTCGGCGGTCTGGCGCGCAAGGGAGTCGCATTCTCTGGCGCTGGCACTCCTAAGAAGAAGTCACCACAGAAGAAGCGCACCGTGCGATGGAAGGACGAAGATGCCAAGGATGGCGAAGAGCCGGGTACTTTGGTGGAGTTTCAGCCCACGCCGAAGATGCCGCCAGACACTCCAACAGCCATCTCGACCGACGACGACAGCAGCAAGATTGACCCGCCGAACTTCTCTGCCGGCTTTGACGCTGATGCTGAGCCAATGTCCAGCCCTCTGCCAGCTGCCCCAAACCCAAGCCACGACCTCCGTAAAGCTGGCACTGGTCGTTTCGCCAACGGCTTCTTGAGCAAGAACTCGACCACCAATGGCTCTCCCATGCCGCCGCCACCATCACTTACGCTTGGCTCTTTCTCTAGTGAAGATGAGTCTAGTCCACTGAGGGATATTGGCGCTAACCGCGCACCTCAGCCTGGGCTTCGCTCCATCACCAACCAGTCGGCTCACAACTTCGACAACGGCTCTGCCAGTGGTAGTGCTAGTGGCAGTGATCACTATGGCTCCGACGTCGATGCCTCCTTCACCGACAAGGAATCAGCACACCAGATCCGCTCTGCGATGGCCCGCAAGAAGCGCTCCTCTAGTTTGGGAGGCAATACCGCGGACCGTCTCAAAGCCCGTGCTGATCGTGAACGTCGCCGCAGCCCAACCGCATCGACCTTCACCGCTTCCTCGCCTCCAGCCGAGTCTGCTTTCTCCGCCGGACAAGCTCGCCGCATGGTAGCATCTGGTCGCGAAGACCCAACTTCGCGTGGCAGCGTCCTATCCCCCCGCTCCCACTCCATCGAGAAGTCCTCCAGCTCCTTCGCTCGTCCCATCGCCATCCGCCAGCGCCAGAGCATGTTCGACTTCAACACCCCCCGCGAAACACCCACCGGTCCCAACAGCCGCCCGCACTCCCGTGCCAGTAGCATTGTCCCGGGCTCTGCGAATCGGCCCAAGGGTCCTTGGCGGTAGAGACGTCATACTAGGAATGGGGCGGCGATCACAAATCGATGACAAAGATTTTGTTGCGTTGGGTCTGCGGGTTTGGGGACATGGCGTACTAGGTCATTGCATGGATGTGGAAGAAGGGGGTTAAATGTCTACGGACGCTCCGTTTCGTTTGGCATTGGGGAATACTATGACACTCCGTCGGCGAGCGCGGTCTCGCCCTGTTGCATCGGAAGCGTTCAAGCGCAGCATGTTTTAGTATAGCGCTTCAGTCTCGTAGGACTTGGACCCTGTGGGTCTGGTCTTTGCATGATACTATTTGAAATTTCTTCTGGCAATGCTTTCTCACTTCAGGTACTCACTCCAGCATGAACTAGCCCTCGAAGCGTTTCACCTCGTTTTGCAGGCCTTGAAAGTGAAGTGCTGTATAGAGAGAGTTGAGCTAGGTATCTATATATGCGGTGGTGCTCAGGTCTTCAAAGTAAGCCATACCCGTTCGCATATGCTTATCTGTATGTATGTCTGTGCTGAAGCTGAGTATGATGAAATGGGAATGAGTTGTAAGATCTGTGCAGGTCAATACTCTCATACTGAGGAGGATAAGGAATTGCATTGCAAGAGGCGAGCGAATGCTAGCTAGTAGACTAAGAAAATCCATGTAGTTTTTGCGGAACGTTCGGTAAGACGGCGTGAAGTTGGGGAGAGCTATTAAATCTCTTTCTCGCCCGATTAATGGTACGAATCACACTACCATCCATAAAACAGCCATGTTGCGGGAGCTGGGAAGTCTTCTTTCTGATACCCGCACGAAAGAAAAAGAGGCGTTAGACGCAGGGTTGGATCTTGATATCTCGTTGTTCCTTCTCCCGCTTCTGGCAGTGTTAGTGAAGGCTAGCTTTCACGCTGAAGGCTGAATCCAGGAAGCTGCAACGTTGATTTACATTCAGACCTTGATGACGGTAATGGCAAGATGCCCCCCCCCCCCCCCCCGTCGTGACATCGGGTTGCGTTTCTTCTGCGTAATGATCAGGTCCCGCGCCTCGTACTTATGCCACGAACTCATTTGTGCGAGATGTGTGTGCGGATCTGGAGGGTTGTGTACCGACACTACTACTCCCGAGATTCCGACTTCGTCCGTCGAGAGACAGCGGTGTTTGAAATCCGAGATGGTTTCATAGGTTTACATTCACAAAGTTTTTTTTTGGCTTTTCTTTCGTTCCACACGATGCGATTGATTCTTCGGTCATCATCACGGGAAGACATCGTCTGGTTTCATCTCATGCCCGAATTTTTGCAAGTCTTGGATGATGTGACGGTCGCTCGCTTGCGCAGAAAATTGCTGGACGCTATTTCGATCTGTGGTCAAGTCAGAACCTATAGCAATTCCCTGAAGAATTCTCTATCTCTGATATCGGTGAGACTCGAAAAGGAGACGGTAGGCGCGTGCCGGTAGATGAGCGGTTCTTACCATACCATTCATACCACGTAGACCATGGCAGACTGAAGGGAAATCGATAAGTATGGTCAAGGTGTGCGAATCCGAATGGCTGATGCCGCGCTATGCTTCACCCTCATTAGCTTTGTCTGACACGTAGGCCTTGCCGCAGACTCCGTGGTGGTTGATAGGATGCTCCTTAGACATTTCAGAGGTCCCGAGGTCTTGAGCCTCGGACGAACTTGTCCAGAATGGCTTGTTGAGGATGGAGGCGCGAGCGCTGGAAGCTTCATTTTGCGGCAACCATGGTATACTGTAAATCTGCCTTCGTGGTGCCTTCCCGTGCAATTTCGAAGCCTTCTCGTACCTTCTCATAGCCAAGCCTCCTCGTCTTGGGTCCTTGGCAGCAAAGTATCGCCGCGAGCTTCCTGTGATATTCCCGATAGAGTCTTCCATGCAAAGGAGCGAGCGCTTTGTGTCTACGGACTTGGTTATTGTAACTTCTCCCAAGTACCGAAGTCGTGGGTTATACCATGCTGAACTCTACTCTATTGTCGAAAGCTCGGACCATGTTGGTTTTTCCAAGTTCCTTGCAAACCTTGAAGTATGGTGGACGGGAAGCTACCTTGCAGCCGCCCGCCTAATCTGTAGTTGCAGTACTGGCTGTCCCTGAAGGTCGTAGATCGTCGATGAGACGTGGTCTAGCTTTGCATGGAATGCCGATACTGCAATGTTGGCATGCAGGTCGCAAAGAAGCCTGTCACGCTCTCGGTAAGAGTTGCTCATACTCCAACTCGACATGAGAAGCTGAAATAAGGCTATGAACGCATCACAGGAGCCCTCGAGTTTCAAAGACGAACGCTATATTCTTCATTTGCTTTTTCTGATCTGCCAAGAGTTGTGATCGCGCGATTTGTTGTAGCTAAGATTTTACAACAGGCTTGGCTTAGGAAGGATAGTCACGATCAAGGTTTGGATGACCAAGGCCATAATAACTGGTGATATCCAAGTTTGGCCAGCAATGCGAGCGGATAACTAGGCTGTGTACTGGTTGTTGCAAGGCTGGGGTCAGATTCCTTGAGGGTCTCCTCTTGATGCTCAAAGTTTATAGTCCAGCCTTGCCATTCCACAGTTATGGTAACTTCAGTAGTTTTGGCCAGGTGCATTTCAGCTAGTTTGACCAGGTGCGTACCACATTCTGCGTGCTGTGAAGGGGAGTTTGCATCTGTAGCCTGTTCCGAACAGGCACTTGGGCATAATCAATAACAAGGAGTGCTTCGGCAGGCAACACCGAAGTTGATGATATTGCTTGGGGTGTTAGTATAGGTTTGCTCGTATCGCTGTGCAGCTGTCACAGATTGCTGACTGTCGTGCTTTCTAAGCTGGTTGATGCAAGGATTCTGTGCGTGAGTCAGAACCATGTCCTGAGAGCTGGCAGAAGAAGTCACACCGTCACTCCACGAGGAGCGGACTTACACCATCTTTTATTGAGAAGCGAATAGTATCGTCCACCGCCCGAGTAGTAGATTGTGACTCCGAACATCAATATACGTGTAATCTACTTCTTCTATTAGTTAAAACAGTAGTCACAGGGCCTGGAGGCTATTCATCAGGGGGTGTCGTGAGTGACCAAGTTCAAACCAATGGAGTTGCAGACCCTGATGCTAGCTGGGATGAACAATCAAGGTGAGATATGGAGATCCTCCGTATAACGTGCGCATTCTCCGGAAGCGCGGCTGTGAGTGGTAATGGGTGGCTACCATAAGCGCTGGTGTGGGCAGTGCGGCATTCTCCGTGATGTGACCATGTCGTGTCTCCTGCCTGATAATATGTAGTGCCATGTCAAGCCAACAGACTGCAGGGCACTATCCAACGTGTGGCAAGCCGTGATTGGCCAAGAATTCAGATGGTAGCTGGATCACGAATTAATGCGATTCGTGCAGCCACTGGATCTTCAGTACGAGATTGCATCGTTCATGGTTTAAATCGCGTCGTTCAAATCGACCGCTCTCGATAGCCATGCACGATGCAAACAGTGCTTGTTGATAAACCGGTCATGTTCGGACTGATGTTGGATTTGGCATGCAAGGCATGTCAAAGTTCCTGCCATAGCTGGCGTCCTGTGCAGGACGAGTCCCAGTACCGAGGTATGTGAGTGAGAGCATTCAGCTTTCACAATTTGGTGAGTGTTTGCCAGTATGATGTGGTGAGGCGCACAGCTGCCGCGTGCGAGGTCGATGAAATTGTGACTGGGCTCTGTGAGTAAGCTTCACGTGTGGTCGCTGATACAGCCTTTTTCCCACGTGCCTTCTGTCGCCCTGAACTACGGTAGTGGAGGCATTGATTGAAGCTCAGAGTCCCAGAAAGCCTGTCGGAGAAACCTGAAAGCGTAGCAGTGGCGACCGTACAGAGCAGCGAGCCAATGTCTTCATCAATTTCCTGTGTGCTGCGAGATTATGCTGTTGAGGTGAAGACTCGTCATATCTTTGCGAAAAGAGACAGCAGCTCTGGTCGTACTGAAAACTAAATCTCCTCTGGCATAGGCGCTCTTGAAGAAGAATCTGATCCATGCTGGCTTTCAATTTTCCCCCAAGTCGATATACCATAGCGAAACCAGGAAACGCCCAAGATGAATTTACGAGCTGCCGAAGCTTAGTCAAAAATGATTGATGCATGTGAAAGAAATGTTTTGGTGAAGTGGAGATACCGTCAGAACAGATGATGTTGCTGCTTCCTGAAAGTTTGTGCCTTAGGCTTCACTATTATGTCATCCTCCGGCATCACCCGCCAGCTCAGCGAACTGCACCTTCAATCCTCATACAGCTCCGAGCAGCAGCAGCACCGCAATCACCACTCCACCCACCACCGCCACCATGTTCCTCCGCCGCGCCGCGCCAGCGCTCGCCAAGCGCGCTGTGCTGCGCCAACCCGTCATTCAGCGCTCCTTCGCCGCCTCCGCGCAAAAGAGTACGCCAATGCCTCCCGAAAAACACCGAACCGCAAAAGCAGGAGAAGGAAGCAGAATCGCTAACGTATAAACAGTGAGCAGCGGCCACTCCGCACCAGGCGAGGGCAAGATGATGAAATTTGAGGGTAAGCAGATACCAGTATGGGTGGGGTGGTATATGGCGCAATAGCTAATCCGCGCGGAACGAACACAGACATCAAGAGCGAACACGATCTCCTCCCACCAGGTGCTCAGCCCGGTACCATCCCCACCGATCTCGAACAAGCAACTGGTATCGAGCGTCTGGAAATTTTGGGAAAGATGCAAGGGATTGATATCTTTGACATGAGGCCTTTGGACGCGAGTCGGAAAGGTAAGCAAGCAAGCATTGAGTCCCGAAGAATACCCACGACACGGTCAATGGCTCACATGCGTGTTGTAGGAACCCTCGAGGACCCAATCGTCGTCAAGTCGTACGGTGATGAGCAGTATGTCGGCTGCACGGGTTGCCCAGCTGATTCTCACGTTGTCATCTGGCTTACTATCTCTCGTGCCCGCGATATTGAGCGTTGCCCCGAGTGTGGTTCTGTTTACAAGATGGAGTATGTTGGGCCTACGGATGATGGGCACGGACATGATCACGGTCATGGACATGATGAGCACCATGCTGAGAATGGAGACCCAATCACTATGGCAGACTTCGTGAGGCCGGAGTACAGATAGATGGAGCAGGGGTTCTTTGCGTGATGAGATGTAGTACAGGCGGCAGCGTAGAGAGACAGGCAGCTTTTGTACAAAGTAGAGTGAGATGGTGACCACTCGAAACTACCTCTTCGTCATATGAGCTTATGGTCTGCCTTTCTGCATCAAAGATGAAATCATCTCGTATACACGGGACCGCCATTGTACATTGGTTTGCCCTCGTCACACTTCATCTCTGATCTTGACGAGGTTTAAATAACCGAATCCTGTCCCTCGTCATTGCTGCTCTCATTCCTGCTCCTTTGCGTCAACATTGCCCTCCGAAACTCGCAAAAAGCACAGCTTAGCCGGCCCCTCTAATCCTCCATCCCTCGATCAAACCAGATTGACCTTGTACCTACGTCCCGATCTGAGCGCCACTGTGCTTTCGCCTTTCCCGAAGTATCATCTGCAGTATGTTCGAGCCCCACTGGCTCTTGAAATTCTACGTTTCCACCACGCTTCAAGTGCGCTGGAACCTCCCTCCCCACTGAGAGAGCGAGATCAACAGTCCCAAAGACCTGAAAAGCGGGAAAAGAGAATAAGTATTAGGTCAGTCATTTCAAATATCGGCATAGGTATCTTACTACAAATTCCCAGTCCGAGCCAGCCGAACTCCAAAACATTATACCGCCCTGGCCGCCTCTCCCGCAGTAGCATCCTCCTCAGCACGCTTCTTGCCCCTTCCAATCCCACCTTCGCCTACACCCATACGCTTCGCGACGTATTGTTGAGCAACGACGCCGACAGCCAGGGACAAAATCTCCTCCATCCATTCCGAGACCCATTCTCGAGGGTCCACGCCACCGGCCTGGATGATCTCCATGATGGACTCTGGAAGTCCGCCCGCGCTGGCTTCGGCGTCGAGCCAGTCGGCCCACTTCTGTGGGAAAGGTTGCGAGAGTGCCTTGAAGGATATGCTGTGAAGTGGGTCGTGAATGTATATGGCGAAGACGATCTGCTCGTCTTCGGGGTCTTCGGGTGTGACGACAGTCGTGTCCTTCTCGGCGTGCGAATCCTCGGCAAAGTTGTCTTTGTCGGCTTTGAAAGCTACGGCTTGGATGGCTAAGAAGATGTCGCTTGATCGGACTGGGTTCGTCTCGCTCAATGTCTCGGTCGCACGCTTCGCTGCCTCTTCAACTCCACCCTTGCTGTCAAAGAAGTCCTTTGCATAGCTCTCTGCTTGTACTCTTGCCAGTCTTGTGCCTTCCTTGAGGCCTGAAATCGTGCCCAGACTTCGTTTGGAGCTCTCTTCTCTCCACCAAGGTCCATCGGTCCACCTGTTCCCGCCCCCGAGCACACCGCCCCTGTAGCCTTGGATGTCGCTGCTCGATCGACTCCGTGATTCACTGCCACGCTGAATGACTAGAAGGTCTCCACCCTCGACTTGCGCCATGATGCGAGAAAAAGTGTCGTAGATGAGCGGATCCAGAGACGGGTAGTTCTGGATGTCGTGAGTGGTGTGGATCTGTAGTCGTTCGTGTGCAGAGATCGGCGGTGCGATATGTGATATGAGAGAAGTGAAAGTGGGTAGTGCTCGTGATCTGAGGTCTGCGCTAATGTTCTGGAGCGATTGCAAGTTCGCGTTGCCGCGAATCTGCTCCACCCACTTCTGCGCTTCCTCGTTCGTCTGGAGATTCTTGGCCAGGCTTTCTGCTTGCTTGACAGCAGCGCTTGCAGCATTGAACATCGATCCCCACCAGCCTCCACCTCCGCCCGCGGCTTTCTGTGAGGACTCTGCCACGGCATTCTCTGCTGCAGGCGTTTGTGCGGTGTGAAAGCTCCTGGTGCCCTCTCCACTGGATCTCGTCTGCGCCGTAGTGGCTCTATGTCGGTCTTCGCTACTATTTCGCTCACTACTGCCTTGAGGGGTGGTCGCAGGTGTATAGTCTGTGGGCCTCTTTGGGCTCTTGCTGGTACCGCTAGTCGTAGACGAGTTTAAGCGCGGAGTCGACGGGCGTGATGTGCCTGCTGGCTTCGCTGCCAATTGCTTCTCCAGGTATGCCAGTGCATCGTCCTCGTCGTTTGCAGAGGCAGCGGCGGTCTTTGCGCCTGGCTTGGCCTTATTCGCAGGTGGTGGCTGTTGCTCCTCGATGCCCAGAGAGTCCAGGTCGGCGAGGAGGTCGTCGGCCTTGCGGGCCATGCTTGTGGAGGGCTTGCGGCGAGTCGTGGTGGGCGAAGTAGGAGTTCTCTCTGGTATGCAATGTCACTCTCAATGGACAATATGCTGAAGTTGGTTGGGTAGTGTGCTCGACGATGGTGTTGTCGGTTGGAGCTGGGCTGGGATCGTCATGGGCTGAGCTGGAGAGCTTGGATCTCCCGCAGGGCCAAGCGTGAAAGTGCCGACCACTGCATCTCTTCCTGAAGACTTCCTCCTTTGCTTCATCATCAGCGGTATCTCCTGAACCGAGGGACTGTACTCACTCTCAAACCGTATCCCAACTATGGACGCCCTCAAGATGTTCTGGAGCTACTATGACTTTTGAAACATTGCTAAATTCCCGTACGGAGCATTGGTCAGCATTCAGCACGATCTACAGAGTGTGAATTGCAGATGGGAAGCCGTTCCGGAACCACTTTGCAATCTGTGCTTTTCTCTATACCAAAGATGTGCACTAGATATGCTAAGAAAAAGAAAGTTGAAGGATTCTTCCGCAGAGCGGCTTCCCATATGCAGTCCACACTCTGCATGGAGACTTTGCGGTGTAAGAGACACAACGGTTTGCTCCCTTGATTCTCGTTATTTCTCTAGCATGCTATAAATTTCTAGTCGGACTTCTACAGCATGGACTGCGTCTATAAGAAGCCTCCTGGCACTTTCCCAACGATCCCGACCAATCTGTACGCTGCCCTTCATGCCTCTCGTCAAGCTCGAGAACAATCGGTCAGCTTGGAACGACGTCAAAGATGCAGCAGACATACTCTGGAGGGTCTCTCTTGACTCTGACATCAGCGCGATTCAGACCGCACTGAGAAATCACTATTCCGACCCCAACCTAACAGCTCAGGACCTCTTCACAGGAATCAATAACTCACGCAGGGCAGTTGTCATCTGCACTGGCCAAAAGATCACCGTTGCCTTCGAAGGCTCACATCCAGAGGAATGGTACAAGAACATGTGGACCGATGGTAAAGGACGCCAGTGGTGGGAATTTGCATACCCAGTACACGACGAGAACGGACATCGCGTGCACAGCTTCTACACAGACATGTGGCATGGCATGCGCACCACTGCAATTGCGGCGCTCGATTTGGCGATTGGGAAGATCAGGGAGCCAAAGCAGATCATCATTACAGGATTCTCCATGGGTGGAGGCGTTTCGATGCGAGCATGTCAAACGAGTTGACCCACGAAAAGCGGGAGAAACTGAATTATCAATAGTCTAGCATTCACCGAGATCCTAGAGCACATTCGCAAGACCTACGGCTCCACGTCCCCTGCCGCTCAAACCTGGGCCTCAGATGAAAAACTCGGAAACCTCATCCAGCACATCACATTCGCTGCCGTCGCAGCTGGAGATCGTGGCCACTACACCCTGCTCAACAGACTCTATGAACAGTACTGCATTCGCGCTTGGGACTTCATGAACCACAGAGATTTGACCCAACACATCCACCATTTCGCATTTCGATCTTGGAGAGGATACCGGTATATACTTCCGGAAGCTGTGGTTGGACACTTCCATGCTGAGTTTGGCGACCAAGGGCATTGCATACTGGGGTACTTGAAGGCTGCGGAATGGATGCTTGCGCATGGGACGGATCAGGTGAAGAGTGCGTGGGAATACGACTGAGTGATGATTGGAGCTATCTTGAATGGTGTCGCTTGGACGAAGCATGAGATGTACGCTACGTAGGGGCGCTCATAACATGTCCTGATCTGCACCCAGCATCCCTTGCAAGACATGTTTGTTCTCTTCAAAACTAGTACCTTCTCGTTATCTCACGCATATCATCCCCGAATCTCTTCATGCTCCTTCTCGTTGCCCAATTCTGCTCGAATCCACCCTCTTCCAAAGCCGTTGACACTTCGCACCTGTGCCTCCCATGCTCTTTCCAAAAAGTTATTCGCCCATTGTAGCATAAGCTAGAGATCGGGCTCAGAAATTTCTCAGCGTCAGCTGCCTGGTTGCCGTGAATCGGTGTCGTGGTATCGGGAACGATTGCCGCATGTTCAAAGAAGTGAAGAGAGAAAAGACAGATTAAGTGGGTAGCTGCTGTTCGGCGAGGATGTCGAGACAGCTGCTTTGAGGGCGACGACTTCGAAGTGTGTGCCTCACGCGGGATGAGGACTGGTGTAGCACTTGCCGTCTCGCAATTTAGAAATGTATTGCAAATGAGAGAAGCTTGACAACGTGTACAGCTTCCAGTGTAGGTGATTGGAGTTGGTGATAAGAGTGCGTAATGAGGACAACGCACGCGATAGGGACACGACACGACGTACAAGGAGACAGCACGACGATGAAAAACACGAGGCAGTGATATGATGGATGCGTAGCAATCGTGACTTCGAGAAATATGTATGTCCAACAACAACATCAAATGCCCGATCCAAGTTGGAACTCCACAAAGGATCGATCATCGATGACAATGACAATGCCCATTCATTCCCCGGACCTCCAGTACCTCGGATTGGCTACCGTGATATCTGATGGCCCTCCTCCTTGAACTTCTTTTCTGCTTGCCACCAATCGTCTTCTGCCAATTCATCGTCAGAATTCTCTTCGGGGGGTGGAGCAGCGTTCTGGCTCCGACATGGAAGCTGTACGAGTGAATTAGCGATGAAGATTAAGGCCGGTGACGGCGAGCTGAGGGACGCTTACACGTGTCGCTCATGTTTGAGTTGTTGTTGAGGGTTGCCCCTGTGCGCCCAGAGGCGGCAGAGGGCATTAGGAGTGAAAGATATAGCGGCTGCGATATGTTAGCTGCGATGGAATGGAGTGGGGAAGAGGGGGATGAAGTACCGGCAGGGGCGCCGAGCTGTGCGCCATGGTGGTGATGGTGACGGCGTGGTCTACCGTGATGTGAGCCAGAGGACTGTCGGGCTTGATGTGGCGTGTTGTTGGAGGCTGTAGAGGCTGAAAGCAGCAGTGCTGTTGTGTGTGTCTGGTGTGTGGTGTGACTGGCATGATGGGTGGGTGAAGGTGAGTGGAGAGAAAAGGAGAGAAAGCGAAGAGGCGCGAGGAAGAGTTCTCATCAGCGCGGTGAGCTTGGACCAGCAGTTGCCTGGAGTGATCGAAGCTGTCGTACGAGGCGGCAGCGGGTTATGCGAGTGCTCTGAGGAGACGGCGAAGTGGAAGGCAAGAGCATACTCGGCCCCTTGAGGTAGGCTCTGCAGCATTCGCAGAATACGGAGACAGAACGATCACTACTCATGCATTGGAGGACGAACTTGCCTGAGGGGAGATGCTTATACCGTGCAAGAAGCCTGGCCATATCAGAGACCACATGCATTGTCATCCGGGTTACAGCACGGCTTTGATCACACCATAGGCGCCTCTCTGAGTACATGTAGTCCAGTTTCTATCTCTCAAACCAAAAGGCCTTCGGCCAGAGCCCCTGCGCACCTTTTGGTGGACTGCAATGGGGAACCGTCTAAGCGGCATTCATATCAGAGGCAATGGCGAGTCACTGTTGTAACGAGAAGGCAGCCGACGATTACTAGTACTCGAAGGATGAGTAAGTGCATTGCAATCCTCGCTAGGGAATGCATGGCAGTAGGGGCCAGCAAGAGGAGCCCCGTGACCGTGAGATGGGAGATGGCGCGGTGCTGGTTGCCATGCTGGAGGTCCAGATGCACATCGTGCTGGGAACAAGTCCTGCCTTGGCACTCTTAGAAGGTATTTGTGGCAGCAAGAGCGTCGACCAATCCTAGGAGTGATGGATATAGCGGTCTATGTCCATCGCTCCTATTTTGCTTTTTCCTTCACCTAAAGGTCAGGGGTTCGAGACACAGTTGCTGTTGACTTCCAAGGCAGCTTCCTGTGTCCCTCGTCAAGGCCATTCCAATCGGCGGTCGTTGATGCCATTGTCTTGATCTTTGCACGTTGCTGTAGCCCTTAATACTTAGGTATCGTTGCCTCGTCAATGAGCTCTTGCCAGTGTCCTGCTGCGGGAAGCAAGTCAATGCAGCTGCCTGCATGCTTGCTTGCTTGACTTTGGAGCTTTCTCCCTTCAGCTTCTTCCATCTTCTCTCACTCGTACACAACAACAACAACAACATCATGACACCGCCACACAAGCGGACAGACTCCACCACTGCCATCATCGACCACAAGCAGCCCTCCGCCCGAGCCAAGCTGGCGGCGGCCTGGAACGCCATCAAAGAGCCTTTCCGCCGCAAGCGGACCCACCGCCTGCTGAAAAGGTTTTCAAAGGCTCAACAGAGCCGACAGTGAGTGTAAGTGTCATCCTTCACCTCCTACAGCTTCAACACTGCCACCATGACATTGCCGCCCTCACACCTTCCACGGAGAGGCTCAGAGCTGCAGGCGCAGAGGCTGACAGGTGAGCGCAGATACCTCTTCACACCCACACCAAGACACCTTCTTGTATCGGCGAGAGTCATCCTCGGGGTCCAGAAGCCACCACCACTCGTCAAGAGCATCTCCCGCATCCGTGTCTTCACCATTTCATCCATCATCCATACAAACATCAATCACTCAGATCATGCTCGAACCCTCCAGGTGCCTGAGCTGACCAACACCTCACAGGGGCTTCGGCACCACCTTTGAAATCACCAGCCAATACCGCGGGAACATCGCGACTTTGACGAATCTGGAACGGTTATGGGCGACGAACAACAAATTGTCCGGACCATTTGATGCTTCCTTGTCGGCATTGGGCAGTCTGCGCGAGATTGATGCTCGCTTCAATTCGATCTCGAACATCGACGTGCTATCTCAGCTGCCAATGCTGGAGGCTTTGATGCTAGGACACAACTCCGTCTCGCAGTTTGAGGGCTCTTTCCACTGCCTGACGAAGCTCACGATCAGCAAGAATCACTTCGTCTCGCTTTCGACACATTTCGGATCTTTGGCGGCGGAGAGGATACCTTTCAAAAGTAGCAAGACAAGATTGTGGGTGGAGTCAACATATGGCTCTGGCAGCACCTTTTTCTTCACCTGCATAGTGCGCTTGGGCAGATGTCGACGCAGGTAAGTGCATTCCTCACGTCCGCCGAAGCTGTGTTCCAAGCTGCCCCAAATGAAAGACGCAAGCTGACGGCCTCCAGAACCAATGCGCGGAGTGACGAGGAGACACGCCCGCGAGGGGCGATAAGTCCATGTCATCGGACGACCCAGGCCACCGGCGCAACCAGTCCGCCAGCAATGCCATACCACTCCAGAGTCTGAACCCTCATGGCATACGCCCGAGGAGTAAACCTCGTTAAAAAATCCCCCTCACGATGTACTCGCACCTTGACGTGGTGTGAGGGCTTACCCTCTGCTTGCAGAGGAACTAAGACGAGTACAACTGCTCTCGGAAAGAGCAACGAGGCTGCCAGTGCATATCGACCAGCCTCGCCGAATGTTCTCACAGCTTCGGCATTGACGACGATGACAAACGGCACCACCACCGCTTTGGCGCCAGCCATCATCGCCGAAGGACATGAAGCTCCCCAGAAGGAAAGACTCGGCCGGACCAGTACACAGAGAAAGTGGCACTCCAAACCACTCCCGCCAGCACCATGTCTGGGCGAGCATACGAACCCATCACCCATCACCCAGAACTTCAGACCTTTCTCCGTCACTTCAGCTACAATGGCTACCTTTTCCGAAGAAAGCGAGCCTGCTAAGCGTACAAGACTGGTTGACGACTTCGACATTCAAGGCGTTCACAACCTCCAGAACAAGGCTGCCTTCGACGAAGCCCTTGCCCAGAAGGATACTCTGCTTGTCCTCGACTGCTTCGCGACATGGTGCGGTCCTTGCAAGGTCATTGCGCCCATTATGCTCTTTCGGTTCCCTAAGCAGTCACATGTCGATGCTTATCATGCGAGCATTCAACCAGAGGCTGTTCGCCTTGGTGAGTACGACCTCGCGTGAAAATCATTCCTTCCGGCGGATTTTCATCGTTCACCTCGCCTTCTGATCCCGCACATCCTTATTGGATCCATCATCGCCAAGCAAGCGGATATCTGCTGGGTGGAAAATCAAGGCCGCCGCCGTCCGGCTTCTCAATTTGGACTTGGTCCAATGGAAGGCATCATCGGAATGACGCAACTTACGCTCGACACAGAGCTTGAACAGAACCGGAACCAACGCGGAATGAGTCCAATGAAAGGCATCATCGGAATGACGCAACTTACGCTCGACACAGAGCTTGAACAGAACCGGAACCAACGCGGAATGAGTCCAATGAAAGGCATCATCGGAATGACGCAGCTTACGCTCGATACAGAGCTTGAGGAGAACCAACGCGACATGCTGAACACTGTCTTCTCCTTGGCAATCAGTCTGCTTACAATCACTGACGATATCCTGGATATCTCAAAGATTGAAGCAAACCGCATGTCCACACGGCAGCCCAAGACAGCTCAAGATATACCTGCTTCGTCGGTTGAGACTTGGTAATGCACATCCTTGTTGGCTCCATCATTGACAAGTACGTCGGTCACTGTCAGGCCTCTTCCAAGCTTCTCACTTAGGAGCGAGTGAGCAAGCATCCACACCGCAGTCCAAGACAGTTCGAGACATCCACTTCATCTGTTGATACTGGACAATGCACATCCTGACTGGCTTCATCATCGGCAAGCAAGGCGTTCGCAAACCAGAGTTCCAGGAGCAAGCGAAGAAGGCGGCCTGCATACTCGCGTCTGAAGGTGTGGAGATCAGAAGAGCAACAAGATTGATTTCTTGTGGTGACCGTTCGGCGTTGTACTGGAGATGTGCGTTCGTCACTGCGTCGTCGCCAGGAAGGTGGATGAGGAGGAACAGCAGACCAGTCGCACTACTTCCAGCCTACTGCGCATGCAAGTAAAGACAGCATATCAGCAATATCAAGCAATTCCGCACAACTCAGCATCTCCAAGCCCCATTTTTCTTCCATTCCATGCCAGAGGTAAGTCATCATATACTCGGAGACATTTGTCTTCTTTTTCCTTCCTCCTCATCTACACTTCCATGCCGGAGCGTCAACTTCTTTGTCAAAGTTCCAGACAAGCATACATCCAGTCCGAAGAATCAGGATAAGATCGACTCCGGACTTGATGTCTCGCGGAGGATATGACCCATGCTGCAAGAAGGAAGTGAAGTCCATCGGCAAGCTGCCGGCATCAGCATAGAGCTAGCATCGCTGGAGCAGCGGAATGATGAGAGAAAGCCGATTGATGCAGAAGGCAGACTGCGAAATGAAGATTTCATCAACGAGACGTCGGCATCAGCATGTAGCTGGCATCGCTTGGGAAAGCGGAAAGATATGAAGTGTCAAAGTCCGAGAAGCTCACCAGTGCCAACAGCTTTGGGCTGGCAATTATGAAGGTGAGCAGAGAACTAAAGAAAAAAAAACGTATGAATATGAGTAGTCGGCCCAGGCGGAGAACAGTCGCTACCAGAGTGACTTTACCGGAAGTATATCTGGTCTTCGAAGCTTGCTCTCCACCAACTCACACTGCTGGATTCTTGCCTCAGGCCACATCACGTGCTCTTCATGCCAGCACGCTCGGCTTTGGTATGTGGCATGCTCTCAGAGGTGCTGCAGGAGATTCTATGGTCGTCATTCTCGCGGTTGGAGGGATAGTTTCGCAGAGAACTTCCTTGGTGAAAAGGGTGTATGTACTGTATGTACCGCAGGCCGCCGCCAAGTGCCAGGTCGCTTGTCGCTTGAGGTGGAACCGGTCGCGGGAGCAGAGGCACGATGTGGCATATCATCAAGCTGAGATGATGAGATACGCTGCTGGATTGAGGCTGAAACAGCATTGCCAGTGTCTCAGACTGCGTTCAGCTTACCCATCGCTGCCAAACCCCTCACCTTTGACCATATTGTGTACCTTCAGAGTGCACGGCGCGAGCACTTCGAGCCTGCGGTTGTTGGACGGGTGGTGAACTGGTATGGTTCGGCTCGAGGGGAAGGGTGGGCGAGATGTGAGCGGCGGAGTCAAGGTCGGTGGTTGAGCTGGTGAGAGGTAGAACTAGGCCATGAACAATGGCAAGAGCACGCGCCTGGGGTGAGATACTGCGCAGCGCTCATCAGTGAGCTCAACAGCGGTCATGTTGACAGGGCCAAGAGTGAAGTCCAAACAGACTCGGTGCCAAGAGCACAAGTCAGCGACACTAGTCTAGCGGACTGCTTCACTCCTCCTTCAACATCGACACAGACACCGAGACACTCGAGTATCTCTGGCGATTCTGTATTCACGTTCACAGTCCATTCAATACGGAAATCATGAGCAGTCGCTCCAACTCATGCCCTCCTTATTTCCAGCATGATTTGACAGAGATAGGGTTGGCTACATGTACGGAGTTAGACACCACTCCAGGATCGCCACCAACCTCTAGCCGTTTCGTCTGAATGAGATGAAGGAAGTCACGTACGGGCTTACAAGCGATACAGCCTGAGAAGGAGGCAGGGCGGGAGAGATGGGCTCGCTGACAGTTCTCGATTATTAAGCGCTATCATAGGCCTGGGTTCTATGTACTTCGAAGAAGAAAGGCTAGGCTAGGCTAGGACATCTTCCGCACTCGAATGCCCAGGTCATGTCTTGGCATGTCCTCGCGGTGCCGAGACATCCTTGTCGCGGCTCCGTCCTCTCCTTCTCACCAACATCGACATGCCCATTGAAGGAGATTTTCGGCGGAAGCTGGGCACAGCCTGTTCGTCTTGCAAGCGAAGGAAGATACGATGTGACATCTCCGATAGTGGACCGTGCTCCCCGTGCCGGCGCACTGGCAAGACTTGCGAGTGAGAGAACCGTGGCACTATCGGGCCCGCGACGCGAGCTGACCTGAGCCTACACAACAAGACCGCACGTGTACCAGTCCCGCTCGCCGCTCAGCAAGACTCATGTCACGTCCTCCTCTCGCCCGTATCTTCCGGCGGATGCAGAGCCGGGAAAAGCCGTCACCAACCCACAAGAGCCGGCAAATGACACTGCTCGCGATGAGAATCTGACCGCCTTCTACGAACGTGGTATCGGGTCCAGCCGTTGGCGTGTATATCACGGAGAGCATGTTCGCACGCTGTACGTAGGCAATACGACCGCGAATCTACACCAGCTGGTCGAGACAAGCGGCCCGGGGAATCGCCTCCATTATTCCTATCCGTCCATCAAACCAGCCTTGCCATGGCGACCGGCTGTGGAAATGTGTCCGAACACCTACCTCAACCACACCATTGCTCAAGAGCTGAGTAGTCTGCCCGCGCAAGATGTGCGAGACGCTTTGATTGACACGTACTTCAACGACATCCACCCTGGCTTCCCCATCATAGACCAAGAGCATTTCCGCAAGCAATATGCGGACGTGGAGAACCCTCCGCCTCTGATTCTCTTACATAGTATGCTTCTGGCTGCAGCGAGGATCAGTGACCATCCAAAAGTCGTGAGATCTAGAGGAGCAGTTACCGCCACACTCTTTACGCGTGCAAAGACACTCTTCAACCTGAGATACGAAAATGACCGCGTGCATCTGGTCCAGTCGGCTCTGCTACTCGCGTGGTACGACGAGTCTTCAGATACTGTCAGTGCTGGCTGCTACCACTGGATTGGACAAGCCTCCCGCATGGCCTTCGGACTTGGCATGCATCGCGATCTTGGGCCCAACTCTCGCAGCATGATGCCGGATTTTGACAAGAGAGAGTATCGCAAGTGCTGGTGGGCGGTATTGCAAGCAGAAGCGTTCATCAGCTTGGAGTTTGGACGACCGTGCATGATACGATACGAAGACTACGATCAACCTCCTCTCGTGGAAACGGATTTCAACAGCTACAGCGGCTCGGCGGATTTCAGCATCCAGCAAGATTTCTGTGCAATCATGTCGGATCTGTCAGAGATTGCTCTGCGAATCGCAGCTTTACATAGTCCCAGAAATATGCACGAGAATCTGCCCAATGTCGCCGCAGATCTTGCGGCCGTCGAGTGGAGGCTACCAGTGGGACATGATATCTGGTCCTGTCAGATACGAATCTACTACAGCTTCCTCAAACTGACGACTTATCGCGCACGCAATAGCCCAGAGGCGTCAATGATCTGCGCCGAGTCGGCTTCCACGATTCTGACCACGCTCGAAACGATGGCTGCCCGAGATCTGATTCGCAAGTGTCAGCTCTACTTCTCGACAGCGCTGTATGCTGCTGCGATTCAGTTTGCGCAGGAAGTACGATCGGCTCTGCAGGCGGGCTCGAAGATTCGTGCAGTATCAGCTCGTGCTCAGCTTGAAAGAACGCTGCATCCGGCACAGTTGCTGGCTAACTACTGGCCCAACGCGAAGGCTTTGTACAAGCTCTGCATCAGTCTGAGTAATAGATGTCTGAATATGATACACGGGATTGCTGCCGAAGCCTCGAGCGTTCCAACAAATGCAATCAATGACTTGACCTGGCGAGATATCATGGGCGGTTCTGGGTGGCCGGAATTTGATGTCAACTTTGATGCTGGGGAATGGATGAACATATCTTGAGAGAAAGCGCCTCAAAGCTTCGCGGCATTATCAAGGGCAAGCAGAACTTCTTGGGCGCCCCTCTCTCCCGATCGGACTGCGCCTTCCATGTACCCTGTACATAGCTAGTCAGCATCGTCCCCATCGAGCGCACTGAGACGACTTACCTTTCCACTCAAATGCAGTCTCCGTGCCTACAAAGTGAATTCGACCCATCGGTGCTCTGAGCGTGGCCCCAAACTTTGTCAATCCACCAGGCCCGAATACTGGACATGGACAGCCTTGGCTCCACTGCTCGTCCTTCCAGATCTGCTCCTCGACATGGATCGGCTCGTCGACCTCTGCAAATTTTCCAAAGAGCTGCTGGATCTGCGCTAGTACAGCCTTCTCCCGCTGTTCAGGCGATCGAAGCCGCCATTCTCTAGCCGGCTGCCCTACCAAGAAACATGTCAAACTGTAGTGTCCATCCGCATCAACGCTGGTGTCCCTCGTCACGCCAATAGGACCTCGAGCAGACTGCGACATGCCAGTCAAGCCATGTCTGCGCCACCAAGGCGTCTTGTAGAATAGGATTGATTTACAGTAATCGCCGAGCATGGTAGAGCGAGCCATTTCGAGTTTGTCAGCAGGCAGAGGCGGGCTCCAGATAATCTCCTTGTACAACGGCGTCGGAACAGAAACGACGACCCTCTCCGCCTCATACGCTCCCCTCGCAGAAGTCACCCTCACCGCACCCGCAACCTGCTCAATCCTCCTCACCGGTGCCATCAACACCACCGCATCATCCGGCAACTCCCCAGCAAGCCCCTTACAAAACGCCTGCGTCCCTTTCTTCACCCTCAAATACTGCCCCCCATGCTTCCTATCCCCCCTCATCTGCAAATACCCACCCCCCGACTTACAATAATCCAAAAAATACAACGCACTCATCTCCCCCGGCTCAACCCCCAACAACGCCCTCGTCCCAACTCTCATCGCATTCTTCGCATGCTCCCCCGCCCCAATCCCCTCCAACCACTCCTCAAACGTAATCGCATCCAAATCCAAATTCTCCTTCCCATATCTCCCCACCGGATCCCGAACATCAATTCCCTGACACATCTCCTCAACCACATCCCTCACTCTCCTCACCTCCGAAATTTCCTCTCCATCACTCCCATCCTCCGCAACTCTCAATTCCCCATACGGATGCTTCCGGTGCCTCCCGATCCCCTCATCACAGATCATCTCTCCTTCGGAATTCTGCACGATCAGTTCTAAACCATACCGCCTCGCGAGCCCATACATTTCGCTCTGATTCGAATCGTTGATCCACGCGGCTCCCACATCGCATACACTCCCATTCACCTCGCGCGAACACGTCTTCCCTCCCACTCGATCCCGGGCTTCGAGAATTTTCACGGCCAAACCTGCGCGATGGAGGTGCACGGCGGTCGAGAGGCCGGAGAGGCCGGCGCCGAGGATTATTACGTCTACTCTTGGTGGAGGGGGTGGCATTTTGGATTATGATGGAGAGGTATGCGATTGTGAGGTTGTTACCATTGCATTTGTTTTGGGAGGGGAGGGAGGTTCTGATATAGATAGAGCTCTGATGAGCTATATAGCTGTTGGCCGGCTGGCCGGCCGAGAGCTGCCGGGCGTTCAATGCACGTCGGGCCCGTGAGGCTTGGCGAAGGATGAAAGTATTCAGTCTTGTTGGCTGTAGTTTGATGAAGTTGATGATGAGAGAAAGCTTTGACTATTTCTATATATCAATAGCCCGAACCATTAGTATAGAGATTTCAATACACGTAGTTTTTTTCTACATGCATCTTAGTCATTCCTGCTTACCAACCACTTCACTCTTGATTCCACATTCACATAGCCGCTTTCCCGAACTTCTCCTTCTAATCTAAATATCTCACTAGTATCCCTTTGCAAAATCTTCGGATCAAAGCTGCACCAGAATCGAGAAGCGGATGCGCAACAAGGACACCCGTCACCTATCTTCTTCTAACACCCACTTCCCCCACCCACCCCGCTACTTCTCCTATCCACCGAAAAATCATACCTCGCCCTCAACTCATACCCCCCATCCCCCGGCCCAAAAACCTGTCTCTCCTCCCTCCCCCATTCCGGATGATTGATCCCATCAATCCAATCCTGCACTTCAATCACCACACACCCGTATTTGCTTGAGACGCGAGGATGAGAGGGGTCGTTGAAGAATCCTTGGGTGGATTTTAGGGGGAAGGTGCCTAGAATACCCCAAAAAGTTAAGGAGGAGGAAGATGAAGGGAGGAAAGACGTACCGTTCATGTTGTTGCATGTGTAGATTTGTAAGGCTTCTTGTTCGGTGAAGATGTCGAGTTGGATTCCGGAAAAAGGAGAAAAGAGGTTCGCGACGGGGTTGAGTTTCCAATCGTAAGGTCGTTGACGAGATGTGAGGTAACAATTGTCGTAGCCAGTGCAGTTCGTTCCGCAATTGCCGAGAAGGGAAGGGTTGGTGAGGTTTGCTCCCAATTCTTTTGGGGAAGACCAGAAATCATTCAAGTCGTATTTCTCGTTCGAAAGAATTTCGCCCGTGGGGATAGAGATTCCGTCGATGGCGATTCGTTGGTTTGCGTAGGGCATGTGGAGGGTGTGGTTGAGGATGAGAGGGGTGTGAGGGTTCTGGTAGCCGTCGAGGTTCCAGTAGGAGTGGGAGGAGAGCATGATTGGGGTGCGCTTTGTGGTGGAAAGGGCGTTCATGCGGAGGTGCCAGGAGTTGGGGGTGAGGGTGTAGGTTACGTAGGCGATGACTTCGCCTGGGAAGCCTTCTTTGCCGTCGGGATCTATGAGGGAGAAGGTGATGGAGTCGGTAGTGTGTGTGACGACGGTCCAGTTTCGGTAATCCCAGCCATCTGAGCCGCCGTGAAGAGTATCGAGACCTTTGTTGTCGTTCGCGTCGACGTGATAGGGATTGCCGTCGATGGTGAAAGTGGCATTCTTGATTCTGTTGGCGTATCTTCCAGGAACGCCGTTGAGGTGAGGATGGAGCTTGCTGATGCTGTAGTGAGTCGCGTTGTCGAAGCCTAGCACAATGTCTCTCTCCACGCCATGTATGTCCTCGATGAACAAATTTGTGATCGAAGCAGCATAAGGGATGAAGTGTGCTCGGATGCCTTCGCTTTGAAGCTCGTATTTGCCGTTAGGTAGCAGTTTCGCGGCACCAAAAGACGTCAGAAGCACCAAGAAGCCCAGCATCATGTTCTGTGGTCCGGAGAGAAAGAAACACACGAGCTCGTCGTCACCAGGATCAGGATCAGGGAATCCACATGCTTGCAGATTGCGTGCTTTTACATGAAGCAAGGAACGGCATTGTCGCACGTGGCGTTCAGCTTGAGGGGAGGACTAGAAATAGGTAATATATAGGCCGGCGGGTAGACGTTCCATCCGTATACAATTCGCTCAAGTAGGAAAAATCGAATTGGGCTGTAAATTTATTGCCTGGCTTTCGAAGTGATCCTACAGTAAGAGAAACAAGAATGATCCTTAGTACTCCCATGGGGAGGTTCCACATTCTCGGGTCGTGGCTGAGATGCTTGGCGTTGCCAGCCTCCTCCATATCAGTGCGGCGAGAGAGGCAGAGAAAGGGCCAGTCAATAATGAAATTCGAAGGAAGTGTATGGAAACAGGGTTGCGGAAGATTCGAGTGTAGCAACTCGCGTCTTCTATTCATCCATCCATCCATCCATTCATACTGTGCTCTGAAGTCAAGCCGGCCATCAGCCAGCGACAATTCCCAACGCCGACGCTATGACTTTCCATTTCATGCAATGCAATGCGCTTCGAATTCAGCGATCCTGTGCTCTCGCGCCGATAACCATGAGCACCCGACATAATTTTCCTGTATGATGTGTGTGTCTCTCTATTCTTTTCCGGCTCTGATGATAGCATCTCTTGGACCATTCAATAGCTGCGCGAATCGCGAGCGCTTTCTATTCGTCGGAGCCTTTCTTCATCCCGTACGCCATCTCTTTGAAACCAGGAGGCACTTGCCAGCCATGAGTAGCACAAGCCCTCATATAGCCCTCAGCAGCCTCGCCGACACCATAGTCGTTTTTGGCGTTTTTGTTGAGTCGTGCGTAGGGCTCGCTGGCAATGGCCATCCGGATCTGCATGAGAACAGACTCCATCGTGGATACGGAGCTCCAGCCAGTGTTGGTGAGAAGCTCCATGCACATGGCGCCACCCATCACGATGTGACCTCCGCCGCCTTGGTTGAAGGTGAGGAATTGAGGCCGAACCACTCTCACATATGGTGGCGTGAATGGGAAATCCTTATTGAAACGGATTTCGAGAACGATACTCTTGATATTCTGCTTCTTCATCTCATCTGCCAGTGGAAGCTTCTCAAAGGTGTGAAACGAGTGTAGCTCGACGATCCACTGGTATGCATTGTCAATCTTCTCCACGTCGATGTACCACCCAAGCTCGGCAGGAGATGTTGACTCCTGCACTTTGGCGAGATTCTGCAGTTCCTTCATGAGGCGCTTTGTTGTGGCTGAGGTCGCATACTCGGGCAAAGGCATCAGTGGTAGGTCTTTGAAGTCGAGAGAACCGGGCACGAAGTCTGTCTGCAGAGCATTCTTGACAATTGCTTTGCCTGCCGATTTCTTGTCAACGTTGGCGACTTGTGGAGGCTCAACAACCTCTGGCTCGTCGAGCAGAATCTCCCGATCTTCGGTATCAGTCGCGACGCTCGCACCGTCCGAGTCATCATCGATCACAATAGGATTGATGGCAGTAGCGCTACCAAAGAGCTTCATCTTCTTGGACGGATTCGGGTTCTTGGGAGCAGTCTCCTTCACAGCAACACCACGAGCAGTCTTGCTCGACTTGATCGCCGAAGCAGGAATCACAACGGCATCGCTGATGCCTTTAGGAGTGTGGATTGGGTCCTGCGGATGAGCGTTCTGCGGCTTGACATCTGCGCCGATCTTGACGCTGTCAGACTTTGGTGCGACGTTGACGAAGAGATATCGCGTCTGAATCCAGTCGAGCTGCTTCACAACGTAGTATGGGTTGCTGGAGGTGAATTCAGCAGGCGCATTGACGATTTCGTTGAGTGCAAGCGCGCTGGAGATGCGCAACGAACTGTTTGGCCAAGATGAGTAAAATCGTCCTGAGCCCCCATAGGAAGCCACATTTGAATAGCCCGTGCTGATTTGAGCGTCTTTCGCATGATAGACACCATCGCCGAAAGCGCGGCCATGATCGGCATTCTTGAAGTGCAGGCCTTCACGAATGATCATGTGCCAATTGTGTAGCGGCGAGCCATGCCAAGCAAAAATAGTTGGATATTGCAGCCCGAGTCGATCGGTCGTAGCTCGCACCTCGTTGATGAATCGCTGCTCCTTGTCTGGAGCGCCCATGGCGAAGCGGAACTGCATATAGTCCTTCATACCATAGCACCTCTCTTGGGATTTGCTGAAGACCGTGACAGGCTTCTTGCTGCCATTGCTTGCCGTACCAGTTTCATCACCATCGACTTGCATGATGCAAGATCGGTTGCTGGCAATGATCCAACGAAGCAGGCTCAGAGCGGATGGTGAAATTCGCTCAATCCACTTCTTCAGATCCGCCGAATTCGTCTTGGTGAGATAGTCCCGCATCTCAAGCACTGGTGGCAGCGTCTCAAGTAGGCGGCAGATGGACAGGCACTTGTCGTTCTGGCTGAGCTTCGCGAAGTCTTGGTTGTAGACTTGGAAAGAGGCCTGCACCCAGTTGGACGACGAGATGGCCGGACTGTTCGGTGTAGTGCTCGCGGGTGTCTGTGGTCGGCCGTTTAAGGAGTTCGGATCGTCAGACTGGTGCTGTTGCGGAAGCTCGATAGGCTGGTAAACGGAGACGGTTGGATAGAAAGAGGTGTCTTTCACCCGGCAGTGAAGGTCAAGGTCGCCGATGGTGGGCGAGGTAATAACAATCCAGTCTCCAGAACGCACCGGACACACATCAGGCTTCGCAAAGAAGATCAGCTCGCCTTTCTGTCGATCATAGCCCACCTCGCAGGCGGTGTTGTCGACGCGACTATCCAAGGTCTTGCTCTCGGTAGCAGGCTTTACACCACCACGATAGCCATAGTACGCATACGGGTCGGCGACGTTGTACGCTTTGGGATTGACGGGCAGCACTGTCAGAGAAAGGCCGTCCGGGAAGTCTTTCAGCTTCCGAGACATGGCGCTACTATAGCAAAATGACACTAGCAGATCGACAGTGTAGGGCTGCGCAATCAACTCATGCTCAATGCTGGGACCAAGACCTAGCGACATATATTGATAAAGGCACAAGCTATCGTCGCACACGTACGGCTTGATGGCTTCGACTTCGCTGTTGAGTTTACGATGGCAGACCAGGCAGAATTCGGTGCAGCGTACGAAGTGTCGAAGGGCGAACTGCATGGCCAGGAGCGGGAATGAGAAGTTGAACTTGCCTCGCGCGACATATTGTGCGTAGTGATCAGCGCGCATGATGTTGGGGAAGGCTTCGCTGATTACTTCCCTCTCGAAGTGTTCGTCTGCGATCATGTCCGCGTTGGCCGCGGTTCCTGCGGAACTGACTTGATATTGATAATGACTTTCTGCGCCCTGCCAGTCCAGACCCGCGCCACGGAAGCGAATGATTGGGATCAAGCGCTCTTGCATCAGGCCAACCAAAGGCTTGGAGATGAAGGTCTCACGGATTGAAGAGATCTCCGCGGCGTGCTCGTCGGCTTTCGGAAGATCCGTCACACTGATACTGCTTCGGTCATTCTTCTTGACGACGGTGAAAGCTTTGATGGCTTCTTGAAGAGTAGGCTTGTATCGCTTGCCCACTACGACTCTCATGGCAATGTTCGGTGCTAAGCGAATGCTGTCGTATGCCGCAAACTCTTCGTTCGTCTTGTAGCCGTTGGGATACTGGATGATCAAAGTGAGATACTCTGACGGCTCTAGCTGCCAGGCTTGCATGGCTTCCTCTGAGATGCCGAGCTTGGCAATGCGGATGGAAATGGTGACATATGAATTGTTGCCATGGAGAAGGTGGCCGAGAACCCCGACCTTGAAGCCAGCAGCTTTAGCGACTCGCAAGTCTTCTCGAATGCGCTGTCTGAATAAGCGCGTGGATGTCGGTATCGGCTGGCTAGCGGCAGTGGTGGTTGCAGAAGTTGCAGTTGGCTGTGTGAAGCCAAAGCGCTCGTTATCTGATCCAAAGCCATCATCAAAGCCGTCACTGGCGTCACTATCGTCATTCTCGGGCAGGTCGTCTTCTTCGTCGTCGCAAGCAGAGTCTTGCATCTGCGAGTCCCCGTCTCTATCGGGCTGGGCTCGCGACAGAGTGGTGGAGATGATGTCCAGCATTTCAAAGACGGTTTTGCGGTCAGTCCCTCGCACGCCTTGAAGGGCGTTAGAGATGTCGCGAGGCGCGTCGTCATCGCCAAAAACCATGTACTCGTGAGACTTCGGATAGTCGGCAAGATCTGTCACCATAGCGGTGATCTTGACCGAAGAAAAGCGAAATTCCACCTGGCCGTCATCCTCGCCGGCCTTGACGTCGCTGATTCCGAGTGGTAGCGTGCCAGTCTTGACCTTTTCGAGGTCTGCCACGAACTGGCGGCGAGGCATGGCGGCGGCCTTCCGCTGTATCGGCGCCGATGTAGTTCACCAGGAAGGACAGCAGAGTGTCGGCGCTGTAGCGAATGTTGCGAGGAGTCCAGAATGAGGGCTGGTGTAGGTGGCGATTGCTTGGTGGTGTGTGTGAAAATGAAAGAGGTTGAGCTCTATTGAGGGTGCCACCAGTCAACGCGCGTGGATTAGAATAAGCTTGGACACTGGACAGGCAGCCACGGCAGCGGAGCGGAGCGGGGCGGAGCGGAGGTGCGGCGGTGAGGTGAGGTGAGGTGAGGTGAGCAGTGTTTGTATGGCGAACGGACGGCCGTGTTGCCTGGGAGTTGAATGCAGTCAAGAATGTACGGAATATGCAGCTCGTTGTAGTTGTACTTGCAGTTGCACCAGCACCCAGGCGCCTCTGGCGGACCTTGAATCGGTGAAGAAGGCGGGATTTGCCTTGGAGATGTCTCACCTACAAGACCTTTTCAACGAGCGTGATACGTCAAGTGATGAAGGTGAGGGCAGGATCTGCCTTGTGCCCGCCAAAGAAAGTGATTCACCTCACTGCCACCGTCGAGGCAGCAAACATCCACGTGAAGCGCGAACTGAAAGAGTCAACTGGGCACATCCCAGGCTGCCGCAGTAGTGCCCGCGGAAGCGAGAAGCTTAATTTGCGCTGTCATGTGAGTGCGCGACGGAAATGAAGCACTTGCTGTACATATAGCATGCCTCACCCTCATCATTGCCGAGTTTCTGCACAGCCGCTGGCATGGCGGTGTCGTCGAAGATAGAAGCCAAGACGCCGCAAGTGTCAGACACCAATATACAGCCATTCCTCCAGCCAGACTTCGATCCTGCCGAATACCTCAATGCCGCCCTGCCTACACTTTCTACAACCTCGGGGAAAAGTGCACCATCACTCCCATTACCCGAGCTATCATCGCAACTACAGACACTGCTGAATCAGCTGAACGCGCAGACAACACGTCTATCGCAAAGTCTTACACAGTTGACGGATGACATCATCCGCAGTGGCAGTAGATTGGCATATGAAGTGGAAGTGCTCAAAGGCGAGACAGTGAGCCTTGCGGACACCTTCCAGAATGGGCTGAGGAAAGACATTGAGCAATTTGTGCCGCCAAGTACGAATCAGTCAGAAGAGGAAGGCTCGGGCGCTGAAGCAGAAGAAAATGTCAAAGCCAAGGAGAAGTCTCAAGAACCAGAGTTCCTCGTGCGCCTTCGCACCTTGACCACAGTACGAGAGCGCCTAGATACCGTCATCAAGACCTTTGGCTCTGCCATGCAGTGGCCACTAGCCCCTTCCGAGCTCTCACTCGCTTCGTCACTCATCTCAGTCTCAGCACCGGAAAGCAACGATGACAGCCGAAGTCGCGAAGAAAAAGGCAAAGAGTACACAGAGAAGCTTCGTACCGAGATCAGCGACTTACTGGCCACTGGCGCAGAAGGCGTGGAAACTGCCAATGCGCGTGTCTCGGACCTTCGAGCACTGGCAGACGTGTGGAAAGGAACGGCAGAGGAGAAAGCGCGGCTGAAGCTGGTGGACTCTTTGCAAAAGCTCGTGGATGACAGACAGAAGACACTAGGCAGATCTGATACGACGGCACACAAGCCTGGAATATCGCCAGCGCGCGCCATGGACTACAGATACGGTGCTGCGGATCCAACTCGAATACCGGAAGGAGGAAGCGGCTATGGATTTTTGCAGAATCTACGGAATCTGAAGAATGAAGTCTACCTTGATGGCTGAGCTTTGCTTCTGCGAGGAGCTCCAGCAACGCACGCCCAGAGGCCAATCTCGAGGCGACGACTCCAAACGAAGGCCCTGGACAGCACTCGGATTACCGTCAATTCCGAAGGTCGTGTTCGAAGTGCTACTTTGAGCCGTCCGGATTTCGAGAGCGAGAAAGAGGCTCAAATGCCATAGTCTCGTCCTTCCGCTCAGTAGTCAATCTTTCATCTCTGAATACCGTACTGGCAGTCAGGTGAGAACAACTGCATACTGTTTCCCAAAAGAGCATCGTCCGAACAGCTCGGGGATTGCCGATGGCCGCCGAGCTCGCTTTCGGCTTTCCGACCCTGCGACTTTTTGGCGCAATGCAGGAACCTCTTTGCAGAATCTGATTAGATCAAGGTGATAAGGCACATGCAACTAGTCGTCAGCTCCTCGCTAGTGTCCTCCATGTAGGAAGTGCCCGCCAATGTCACCTCATGTCAATCGCGCTACGTAGGTGAAAGCAGAATGGCTCGCCCAACTTCCCTTCCCCGTGGCTTTCAACAACCACCCGACAGTGCAGCTGTTATCTTATCTTTACTCCACAATCATGGACGCCCACCTGGAATCATACATGAACATAGCTGCCCGTGCACAGCACATCGTACTTGATTCCATACCTCAGCAATGGCGTCTCTCCGCCGAGGCAAAAGCTCGAGCCCAAAGAAATCCAAAACATGGTGTTTTTGAGTGCAGCATCCTCTCCAGGCGACAGATCAGAATCACAGAGTTGAGCGCATCAGAACTGCTGCAAAAGATCTACAACGGCCGACTGAGCTCCTACGAGGTGACCGTGGCATTTTGCGCTCGTGCTGCCATCGCACATCAGCTCGTGAATTGCCTCGTAGACTTCTTCCCTGAGGAAGCACTAGCACAAGCGAAAGCACTGGACGATGACTTTGCACGAATGAAGCGACTTGTCGGCGAGTTGCATGGATTACCACTAGCAGTCAAGGATGACCACTTCGTAAAGGGCAAGGTCGTGACCATGGGCTACACAGCTTGGGTCAGCAATCCTCCATGCCTAGATGACTCCTCGCAGGTCAAGATTATGAAAGATGCAGGCGTTATTATCTTTGCCCGAACGTGCATGCCTCAGACAGGAATGGCACTCGAGACGGTGAGCAACCTCTGGGGCCCGACGCTGAATTCGCATGATATTAATTTCGGAGCTGGAAGATCTTCGGGAGGCGATGGCACACTGGTTGCACTACGCGGCACTCCAGCCGCACCTCTCGCGACAGACATCGGCGGCAGTATCAGAGCGCCTGCTGGCTTCAATGGTTGCTATGGAATGCGACCGACTGCCGTGCGTGTTCCACTGGCCGGGACAGCAACTACAGTTTCCGGAGACACTTCGATCAAATGCTCAGCAGGTCCTATAGCAACGAGTCTTGAAGATTTACAGCTCTTCTCGAGATTGCTCCTCACGCACCCTACCATCCCTGACGACCCGAGCGCCATCATTGGATATTGGAATGACCGACCACAAGTGCCTTCGAAACTACGAATCGGCGTCTGGAGCACGGATGGCGTTGTAGATCCTCACCCACCAGTCCAACGAGCGTTAGGAGAAGCAACAGCCAAGCTCACAGCAGCAGGGCACGAAATCGTGGACTTCAAATTCCCCTTCGATCTCTGGCAAGCGGCCCAAACAGCTTGGGCACTCTACCTTCAAACCGGAGCCCGAGAGCACAAAGCCATCCTCCAATCCGCCGACGAACCAGCTATCGCCCAGTTTTCAAGCTACCTGAACACCTTCCACACCAGAGAACTTTCCGTCCCCGAGCTCTTCGCTCACAACACCGCAGTCGCAACATACAAATCCCTTTTCCACAACGCTTGGGAAGCTAGCGGTATCGACTGCATCATGTGTCCTTCCGCCTCTATGGCAGGTGTCCCTCATAACTTCTCCGTTTGGTGGGAATACACGGCGATTTGGAATCTTCTTGATTATCCTTCTATCTTTATCCCGCTGAAAGAGTTTAAGATTAGTGCGAAACAGGATCCGAAGGATTTGGAGTATCAGCCTAGAGATGATCCTTTTGATGGGCCGAATCGGAAGCTTTGTGAGTTGAGTCAGAGATTTCGAACATGGCCTAATCTTGGCTGACTTTCTTTTTTCAATAGATGACCCAGAAATTTGGAAGTCGCAACCGATGACTTTACAGATTGTGGGACGACCTTGTAGGGATGAGGGGTTGACTTCTGTTTGTGAGGTTTTGGATCGGGTTGTTAATGCTGATCAACAGAGTCGATCGGAGAAGCGGCTTGGGGATTTGGTGGAGAGAGAGGGTGCGAGACTTCGAGAGCGATTGACACGATCTTTATGTCTTAGTGGTAGAGTGGTTGGTGACTTGAGGCTAAAGCACATTTACTATGCATTTGAATCACATGCGAACTTGCGAAGGGCTACTATGGAGAGATGCGGGAGAGATGGCTACAAAGGCTAGCATTGTACTGCCGGACTTGCTATATCGATGACAGGGTGGAGTTTGGGATACGCGGTGCTCTCGAGATACAGATGGTGCACTCAACTTTATCGGTTTTGTATGCCAGACATGCTCGAATTGAGAGGAGGAATGCGAGCAGCGAGCAAGATCTCTCACCAAGCAGATTAAGTTCTCGGCATTCGGCAAGCGGGCCGGAAGCTTGGCATGGGCTTTTGCCGATCGCCAAAGCTTCGACTCATGAATTTCGAGTTCATCTTCATGCGACAGCAGTGTTCTTCACTTTCACTGAAGCGACCGACAACTCCATGATCGACCGATAGCGAACATCCAACGTGCACCTGCACACCAACGTCAATCACCATGGCGACTCCCGACGCAGAAGCGAAACCAGAAATCAGCGAAAAGCAAAAGATTATCAACGCCGCCGAAGCATTGCATAAAATCGTCGCCGACGCCCAGACAAACCACATCGACGTCAACGGCAAACGCAGCCTGACCTTCACCCAAGATGACCTCCTCGCTACGGGAATCGTGTCATCCGCCAAGGAGCTCATGCCACTGATAGCCCATCTCTCCAAAGAAAACCTCTTCCGCACAGTCAAACAACAAGGCCGACTTGCATGGAATGCGCGTCCACAAGATGCTGCACGTCAGATCACAGCTCTGGATCGGGATGAGAAGGCGGTATACGTGATTGTAGAAGAAGCGCACGATCGGGGAATATGGGTGAAAGAAATCAAGAAGAAGGCCACCGGCGTGGCTCAGCAGACCGTGCAGAAGGCTGTGAATAAGATGGAGAAGGCCAACCTCATCAAAAGTGTCAAGAGTGTACGTCATCCTACGCAGAAGACGTACATGCTCAGTCATCTGGTGCCAAGCGAGGATGTTATTGGCAACTCGTTCTTTGATGCTGGAGATCTGGATGAGAGTTTTCGCGACGAGTTGCTGAATTTGATTGTGTTCCATGTGCGGCAGACGAGTTGGGGGGATAGGGATAAGGATGCGAAGAAGGGGAAGAGGAAAGAGAAGCAGGCGGTGATCAGTGTTGAGGATGATGGAGATGCAGCTGGTAAGAAGCGCAAGCGGACTGCGGATATTGAGGATGCTGGGAATCTCAAACGAAGGTCCGTGAAGCTGGATCCAGAAGCTTTCTCGCAGACCATCTATCGTGCTGGAACTCACACCTACCCGACTGCAGAGGAAATTCATAATTTCTTGGTGACATCCAACGCCATCAAGCCTACGAAAGCCGCCTCACTTACGGTACACGAGATTCAAGGCTGTATCGACGTCCTGTGCTGGGATGAGAAGCTGGAGAAGATCATGAACGGGGAGGGTACTTGGGGCTATCGCACAGTTCGAGGCGTCACCTTCAAGCCTCCTGGAGCGAACTACGACGATTATGAAGAGGTCGTCGGCACTGGCCTGACTCAAGCGCCCTGCGGTAGATGTCCTGTCCTTGACCTCTGCCACGAAGGCGGACCGGTAAATCCACAGGACTGCATCTACTTCGAACAATGGCTACGGCCTGGGTAGGGCTTAAGATTTGTTTTGACTTTAGCGATGGCGCTGGGGCATGGGTGGTGTTGTTGTTGCTTCCTACAGATACCCAGACGTGGAAAATCCCAATTCAGAACTTAACCTCATCTTTTTGGAAACGCCATTCATAATCAACAAATCTCTACCTAGAAACGAAGGTTTCACCGCACAATCAGGGTCATGAATTGGTGGGTAGCCGCTTGCTTGCGCTGTCGTACCGCTCACGCTGGATTTCTGTACTACTATTTTGTGCAACACTTGTCGCAGGGTGTTTGTGCGTGTCATGTTGTTCCCACAGTCTCCAAATCACGACACAATCGAACATGGCACGCTTGAGCACGATGTCTATAACCACTTTGACTTCGAATACGGCTCGGAGGACTATCTTTACTCCCCCAGCGTCTTGTTTGGACGATATCTACACACTAGCGCCAGATGGTTACGATGATTTTTGGGCAGTGAGCTCGAAAGTATTCGACGGCACCGGATGGTCTACCAGATTTGAGACGTTCATATCGCGAGGTCTAGACCCGGCTTGTTATGAGAGCATTGAAACCACCACCTTGGCTTCGTCTTACACTTGGGCCGCCGTCCTTTCACCAGCGAGCTGTCCGTCTGGCTATACTTCAAACACGGGGAGTCGGCAGTCAACTTGGGTTGAAATCACATGCTGTCCAAGGTGGGTTACATGATACAAACTCCTACCTTCCAAGCTAAAGATAGCATTCCAGTGGCCTCGAGGAAATCCACAGCGTTGAGACCACATCACCGGTCTTAGGTATACAATGTGCGCAAAGCGAGGCGACATCGGTCGTCGTCAAGGAACCGTATATCTTGACCGCTGTGAAAGTCGATGTACGCGTGGCGCCCGGCGTTGTTGCAAGATATGATCAATCGGACTTGGACTCCTGGACCTCATCTGCAATTCCCATCACGACTACATTCGACCCACAAGCCACAGCTTCGGGTGGGGCTCCCACAACTTCAAGCAACGAGGACTCTCACCGTCAAGGCTCTCTCGCCGTGGGCCTCAGCACAGGCTTCGGAGCTTTGGTCTTCGCACTCCTCATTCTCGCTTTCGGGCTCTGGCGCAAGCATGCGAGGTCGGAGCATGAGCATGGAGATGTGCAAAATTCCAAACCTGAACCGCAGCTCTCGCGCGAAAATGGAAATGAGCTTGATTCGAAGCCTTTGTACGAACTTGAAGGCGGTGCTCGAAGTTTCTTGGCTTCAGAACTTGATGGAAATTGGAGAGGCACGGAAGCGGCGGCGATGGTTGAGGTTGATCTTTCGAGACCGCAGCGTGGGAAGGGGGCGGGGAGGGTGGAGAGGTTGGAGAGAGGGAGACCAATGCACATCAAGGCTTGACGTTATCTGTACGTTGCTCTGCGCTGCTTCGTCACAAATCTCAGAAAACCCGCCCGAGCGCATCAGTATCGGTATCAGTCATCGAACGAGGAATTCCGACTTGCGTGAAAGCTAGTGTTGGGGTCAGTAGCGCTTGTGGACTGTTGTTCAGAGAGCTGGTACTGGAAATGGAATTGGGTTAAAGGACATCTACCGTCAGTCAGCGTACGATGAGTGCTGTACTTGCCTGTACAGCACAATCCGGAGCGCAGCAGAGCTTGAAGGTGAAGGTTCTCTGGTCGCCACGCCCGCTTCTAGGAAGCCTGCTACTGTATAGAACTGGAGGCATCGTCTAGCCCAATTCCTATGGGAAAAGCCGAACTTGATACCATTCAAGTACCGGCGCGGCTTGAGGTGGGACCTTTACAAGATTCGAAGTCGCCAGAAGAGACGAATTATTTCTGGCATCTCCGCCTCTTGAGTCTTTTCCTTTCCAGATGAAGTCGAGGAGGCAGCCATGAAAGAAATTCATGCCTTCTCAAACACCTTCCCAATCCTCTACCACCTTCACATATTCCCCTTTCGTGAACGTATTCTTATGTAACCGTCACCAGGCCCATCCATGTCTTCCAAAGAAGATCAAAATCACAAACCACGATTCAAGACAAACGTCCTCCCGTCATTCAGCCTCACAACCCTCGGCCCGAACCCGAACCCATCAAATCTCCGAGTCCCACCCGCCACCAACTCCTTTCTTTTAACCTCACAACACCATTCGCTCGCAGAGTTGCGCTTCATCTTCTAGCCTGTAGCGTCGTGTGCTCCAGCCGGTGGACACCGAGAAGATTTTCACATGCACAGCTCGCGGGCGTTGACTGTTTTAGGCATGTGTTGATGAGTAACGAACCGTTTCAGCCGTTCATGATTCGTGATTGATTTGAGATGGAGGCGATTGTCCAAAGATTTTAGTGTACCACTCTTCTGGGCTGCAGCCACCAAAGTTTGCTGACAGAGTCCCGATATAGTGGTATAACCTGTTCCGGATTAGAATGGCCTTAGCTAAGGTAACGATTAGGGTTAAGAAGGAGGGTGTTCTTAGTACGACGGCTTGCCTAATTAGTCGACTAGCAGTCGACTAGATAGATAGGGGTTAATAGAGGTTAATACTAATATTAATGCGTATTGCTAGCACTATAGGCCTATATATAGTCGCTGTTTTAACGTTGCTATTACCGTTGCTATCGCTATATTATCTCTGCCTCTTACTACTATTACCGTATCGATTAGAAGTCCTTCTTTTACCCTTTATCTTATGTATCGCGTCGTCGTTATCTATCTAGTCGTATTTAGAAGCTACTGTTCGCTCTAATCTAAGGTCTATAACTCTAGAAGGTCTTTAAGGCGTTATAAGGTCGATAAAGGACGTATTCGACGCTCGAGGCATATCGCTAGTTAAATCTACCTCTTTAACTAAGTCGATATCTATAGGCTATACCGACTATGTATTTAGTAACGACTCGCGACGTAGCGGCGGCTCGAGGTGAGGGCGCGTAGGTAACGATAATAGAGCCTAATTAGTACGCTATTGTCGCTATCGCGGCGGCCGCGCTATAGCTAGCGCTCGGAAGGTTATTATTATCGATCGAGTTAGTATCGTCGGCTGCGCTAGAAGATATAAAGTCTATTGCCGCAACCGCTTACCTATAAAGGTAACCTTAGGGGCGCCGCTTTCGTAGTAATTAGTAATCGAGTAGTTAGTAAGGCTATATAGCGTATCCTTAACCTTACGAAGGAAGCCGCGTATATAGCTATCGCGTACTGCTAGATTAACGGTCTTATCGTCGCGAATACGATAGAAGTATTAAGACAGGCCCTCGGCGGCCTCGTTATAGTACGACCTCAAATTACGAAGATATAGGTCTCCTATAGTCTATAGCTTCCGCGTATCTTCGTAGCCTTCTAGCTACAACTAATCGCTGTCTCGCTGCTTCTAATATAGGCTTATCTTTATAGAATTGAAGCTAGTATACTAATTAACGTATACCTATTATTACTAGAGTATTAATAGCGTAACAAATAGGTAGAACCTAAGGATATAGTAATAAGGTAAGTAGGTCTAAAACTACGGAAGGCAGTTATAGTAAGCCGGAGCCGGCTTCTATCTATTATATAGTATAAGGCTATAGTAAGTCGGTAGGCCCTTTACCTTATACTCTTCTGCGATTAATAGCTGCTTTCTAACAAGGTCCTAAGCCGCTAGAGGTTAAAGCCGCTTAAAGAATAGTATCTCTTTAACCTTCTAGAAGTTAGTGGATTTTCTAACCCGGTATAGTTAAAGGTCTGCCTTCTATAACAATCGAGCGTTAATTGTTATTAGCTCGACTATAGTGCTATATATAGACAGCTAGACTATCTCTTTCCTCTTATCGTATTTGATAGCGTTGTAATAGCCTTCGAGAGGCGATGTTATCCGGACCTATATTAAAAGAGGGCTTCCTAGCCGTGCCTAAGTCGCCTATAGATACGACTTCTTACGCTAGTTATTAAGGAGGTATTGTACCTGTTTATCCGAGGCGTATTTGTCTCTCAATTCCTATGCGATTCTATCGATAGTATCGATAACTTCTACGTCGCTACGGGCGTAGTAAATCGCATAGGAAAACAGCCGCTAAACCTATAGATACTGCTTCTCGGGGAAGTGTCGTAGGAAGGTCTCTTTAGCGTATCGTTAATAGAGATACATAGTTATTTCCTCCTCTTTAAATGCTAGTCGAATAGCGCGTTGTTCTTAAGCCGAGTCGTTAGTTATAGCTACTATAGGCTTCTAGCCGGGTGCCTATTTCTTTAATACTTAAAGCCTAGCCTTAATAAGCTTTGCTCGCTAGCTCTATAGCAACATATGCCCCCCTAGCATCTAGGAGCCGAAGGCATTACGGATATAGACTATAAATAGGTAGAAGTTATTGTCGGACGTTTTATAGGTCGCATCGAAGAGAAATAACTGTATATAGACAGTTAGTCGTTACTATCGAAATTTATATGTTAGGAAGAAAGCCGGAAAGCTAATGCCTAAGGCACTACTAGCTAGGAAACGGGAACCTATATCTCTAGCAACACTACTATTTAGTAACTTACGCTACTAGTCGGCCTACTATATAACACCCTTATACTAGAATGCCTCTATACGGATAGAGAGGGCCTTATAGGAAAGTCCTACGCCTGTTATATCGTCTGTAAGAGGGCCGAAATAACGATTAAGGTTGTCTAGCTATAATCGAATATTGCCCTTCTTAGTTAGGGACACCCTCTTTATATTCTTCTTTATAGACTACTTTACAATATCTTTCTTTGCACGGTGCGCTCTAATAATAGCAAGAAGACCTGCATTAGTACCCTCCTTTAGTAGGTAGAATATATAAGCCGTTTTATAGTTATACTAATCTATTAGGTATTCGATAACAACCTAGAGGCTATTACTAGAAGCCCTTACATCCTATAGCTAGTCTAGTTAGCTTTGTAATACGACTTAATCTACTATATTAACCTTACTATATAGTCTATCGTATAACTATAGATATTGTTATTACTATACGCCGAATCGCGGCCTCCTTGAGCGATCTTATAGCTATAAGGCTCCTTGTCCGCCTTCTAATCGAATACCGCGATTATAGCTATCGACGCGTCGTATAGGTCCTTATAAAACTCTACCTTATAGATACTAATACCTAGCTCTCGATTGCGATTAAAGTTACGCCGATAACGATAGTAGTATATCGTCCGCTACGACAACCTATCCTTATAACGAGCGCCCTTATGTTTCTCCTAGAAGTTAGTTATAAAGGGCTATACCTATTTAAACTATTCTTTCGGTATAAAGGAGCCTTAGGTTAACGGACTAAATAGCGAATAGCGTAGTTAATAGGTTATAGAAATAGGGATAAGATAAGCTATATTAAAGAGCTAGATTAAAGAGCTAGATTAAAGAGCTAGATTAAAGAGCTAAATTAAAGAGCTAGATTAAAGAGCTAGATTAAATAAGTTAACAAGTATTATAGTAACAATAGACAGCTATAGCAACTTTAGCAACACCTCCTATATAGAAAATAGGCCCTATACTATTAGGTTTCGACGATATGAAGTTAGAGACCCTAGCATCCGCGGAATGCCTATTTTAGCTAGTAATATTAACACTTCTTAGATCCGGTTATCTACGAAGGAATGCCTCGGAAATTATATATGGGGCTAATCGGCCGGGCACTAAAATCTTCTGACAACTGCTTATAATTATTGATTTGTTTCGTGCGGGCCGTTGGTGGGAAGTTGGAAGGAGATCATTTTAGTATGTAAAACGTTACTCGGTAAGAAGGAGAGGAGAGGTGAGGAGAAGGCTGGATCTTGTTCTTTCAACGCGACTTCACGCTCACTACTTTCGTTTGATCGCACTTCACTCTTTCGTATTCTGCACTGGGCATCGTTGCTCCCCACGCTCATTTATCCACCAACAAGAACAAGATCCAGAACCAGCACCAAAGCCAAACCCCAGAATCAATCATAATTCTCCAACACAAACTATCGTCGCGTCGCTCCATTTTCGCGAATACAATCGGAAGTCGACATCTCGAATCCTACATACCGGCGACCATCTACATTCCACACCCCAAAAGCAACCACATCCAGAGTTTAAACTCCAAACAACCCACCCTCCACCTCACGCGCAAAAACCTCAACCCACTCACCCCGTCCACCATGGCCGGCGTCCGCGATCCCGCCTTCTGGAAACGTTTCTCCACGGCAGTCCATCTGGACGAAGAACAAGCCGCATCAGGATTAAAACATCAGTACGTCAATCTTCCCTCCCACTCCTCTTTCTTTCGCGCGTATGTTCTGACTCGCGTTTTGTAGGGACTCCTGGCTCGACCGGCAAAACAAAAAAAAGTCCCGTCGAAGTTGTATTTGTTGGTTTTTTTGGTTGAGTTTTTTCGTGCTGGTTGCGGGGGTTGTGGGGGTTATACTTTGGATGTTGGGGAGTGGGATGTTGGGGAATAATGGTGGGGGGAAGGGGGATGCGAGTAGCGATTAATTAGAAGAGAGAGGGAGGATACATGAGGAGGAGAATGAGGGGATGGGAGTTGGATGTGCTGGGATGGGAGAAAAAGGCGATGAGAGTTGGATGAGTGTGATACGGACAGAATACAGCGGTCCTCAGCAGAACCGGAATGTATAGATTCTATGACTTGATGAAAAAGATAACAACAGCAAATAGCGAAGCAGCGAGACAGCGAGACAGCGCAGGGGAATGGATTACCTGGACTGTAAATAGAGCTGAAAGTGAGCGTGATAACTGCAATACTTGAGATCTTTCATTTTAGGTGACTACTTGCTTCTCCCCGATGCGGAGGAGACTCGTGCCAGTCCCGGCTTTCGCTCTTGGAGAATGCTGTACTCTGCTGTACTCTGCTGATATGCCATCTGGGCGCGCCTGTTTGCGCGATGAAGCAGAGGCGCGACACCTCCAGACTCGGCCCACCTCCACCTCCATCGAGTATATGGGCAAGCAGCGACACCTCCAGACTCGGCCCACCTCCACCTCCATCGAGTATATGGGCAAGCAGCGAGTAGAAAGCTCAGCGCGCCGGCTACAGCAGACGCGTAGCATGATATCTGCGCCTCCCATGCTCGTGCATCTTCGCCCTGGCACACTTTACTGAAGCGCGTCCAAGCGAGAAATGCCATCTCCGTAGTCTTCTCCCATTGCCTGTGATACCGCGCGTCCTCCTCAGCATCGCCGCAGTCTCATGCTCTTGCCGTTCTGGTCGTAAGCTCTCTCGCCCGTGACGCGTAAATTCTGGCAAGCAAATTCTGCGCGCCTCTGCCATCAATCTCCAACCCCCTCTAATACCTCGGATTGGCCGGCTCAGGCGAAGGACTCCTCGTCACAGACCTCGGATCGCGTCCCCTCTCCCTCAACCACTTCTTCGTAGCAAGTTCCAGCTCCCTCTCCAACTCCGGACTGGGCTCCTTCCGATGAATGAAATTACAAAACCCACCCCTCACACACCCCTCCCCAGAATTCAACCTACAACACGCCTCCCGAAAATCCGTCACCGGACTCAACTCACAATAAATCGGCCGCGCCGCATACCACCTCGAATTCAACGCATCGCAAGCCTTCTGCGCCGACTCCTCATACTTGAACCGCGCATACACATTCCCAATCAGATGATCGTTGTTATTATCGCACACGACCACCTCTTCGATTTCTCCGAATTTGCACATCTCGCACCAGAAGTCTTCGTAGAAGGCGTCGAAGTGGTTTTGGAGCTGTTGCGGGTTCATGCGTGATTTGTTGTCGTAGGCGGGGTTTTGGTAGAGGTTGGGGAGGAGGATGGTTTGCGAGTAGGAGGGTTTGACGTGTTTGCGTGAGCAGCGGTCGCCGTGGCGGCAGGCGCCGATTTTGTAGTAGAAACTGCAGTTTACTTTGTCTTGTTCTGTGCCGAAGATGGAGGCGAGGTAGTTCGCCATGGTGGGTGGATGGGTATCGCGGGTGTTTTGGTTTGAGAGGGATGCGCGCGCGAGGAGGGATTTGGGTTGGTGTGGCTGTTGAGATGTTGTTGTGTGGAAGTTGGAGTTGTGGCAGATGCATATCTAAAATTTCAATAATATGATAACTCAACAAAAGTTGGGGCCCCTTTAGGCTTAGTGCGGCTCAAAACGGGCTAACCGCGGCCTCTAATTAGTGGACGCGAGGAACGTTAATACCTTAGCGATTCGGAAGGGCGTAGATATCGTAGTATATACCGTAACGAGCTATAACTTCGATAGTAGTCTCGAAAAGGGCGTTATCGTCGTATATACCTTATCTAGCGGTATTTACTCGAAGCGGTATACTCGATCGCGCTAGTAGCCTTACGGGAAGCGTAATTTAGTACATACGACCGGTACCGAGGCCCTACTATCGCGAGCTCCGCTATTAGGGTCTTATAAATATAATACTATCGACTCTCTTAGTCGCTATCGTAGCTCTATCGACCTCTATAGCCTTCGAGAAGCTATACGAAATTACGGTATCCTTCGCTCGTAAGTCTTAAAGAAGGCGCGCGTCGCGTATATAACTATAGTAGCTATATATAACGCGCCTATATCTAGAGATATAACGACTTTAGTAAACGCGCGGTTATTAATTACTACTATAATAACCTAATATCGCGATCGACTATTATAGACTCTACTAGAACCGACTTCGATCTAACTCCCCTAGCCGCTAGGTACTTATTCGCGTTATACTAGTATAGATCTAACGAGGGCCCGCTACTAACTATCTATCGTAGTCTCTCGAGGCCTACTACAATACTCGCGAAGACGTACGCTTAAGATTATAGTCTTAAAGGGTCCGAGGTATAGAAAGCTATAGTAAGTAGTATAGTAGCGGTCGTACCCCGATATAGCGGCTAATAATTCTAGTACGAGGAGGTTTACGGTACTCGATAGGAATTACTATAAGAGTCGGTAGTTTTCTTTACGAAGATATAGTAAGACTCGCTACTACTTAGCCCGCTATAGAGGATTCTCGATCTACGGCGGTTCGGCTTATTTCCTTCGTTTAGTATCGTCCCTCGGAAGCTAGACTTTAGGTAGATATTCGAATCGTAGCTAGTAGAAGGATCGACTATCGCGAAGCCTCTTAAGGTGTTTTATATCGCTACTAGCCTTTTCTATAACAACGTCGCCGATAAGGCGGCTATAAAGGTTCTCGAGATCTAGCATTAATTCGATACGATATCTAGCTATAGTATTAGCGTCGCCTTACTCTTAGAGAGTACTACTCGCGATTAAGAATAGACGGTATAGCTCCTAGCCCTATTTAGCGATAAGTACGCTAAGATAACCTACTTCTTAGACTATTTCCGGCTCCTCTATAATAGTATAGGCTTCGACTAGGTAGCGATATAGAGTTGTCTTTTAACTATATATAGCGCTCCTGTCCGGCGAAAGCCTTTATTATTATTATTCGGTCTCGCCCCGCTAGAGGAGTATTATAGCAAGTCGAGCGTTATAATAAACTAAGGTATAGGTAATCGTAGTACTAAGCGTAAGGGAGAATATAGTATTTAGGGAGGTTACGGAAGGAAATCTGCGATAATCTTAGTATATTTGTTATAATTTTTAGCGTGCTATCTGCTTAACAGACATCTTTTTATATCCCTCGATATAATATAAATTTATAGCTCTAGAAGATATATCTTACCGGATTATATCGCTAGAGGTAAACGACGAGCTCCTTCGCCTTAACTTAAGTCCTTAACGACTTCGTTCGTACTAATACCTCCCTAGCGACGATGCCGACGTTATAGTAGTAGGATCTAAGCTAGAGTAGTAAGCGTAAGGTCGCGTATTCGTCGTCGCGCCGTAAGAGGCTGTTATTATTATCGTAGGTCGCTTTATATCGTCGCTTTATATCGTCGCTTTATACCTATTAGCTAGTACAGGCTTAGCGCGCGGCGACGGTTACGCACATAAATAGTAATATTACGGCGTTACGCGTCGTCTAAATATTACTACTATAATAACTAACATAGCGACTACCCCTACGTAGCTACATCTACCTCCTTCTAGTTATCGATATTACTAGTAGCGACCTCGACAAAGGCGCCCCTCCTATATAGTCTTAGCTACTATAGCCCTCCCTAATAGTAAGTCTCTAGCGTATCGGTCGCCGTACGCTACTTTCGCTAATATCGAGCTATAGAGATAGACGTTCTACGTAGTATACCGTAGCGAGCCTTTTAATATTAGGAATTAAATCGCGCTATAGCCGAGATTAAGTACCTCCGCGCTTCTATACGACTTCGCTAATAGCTCGCTATAGGCCGGGCCCTAGTATATTAAGAAGCGCTATAAGATATATATAAGCTAGTTACTAAGGAGGTATTACGCCGCGTACGCGAGAACCGTAATATAGACAAGAAGGACGGCTTCTCTTATAAACCTCTATACTATAGCGTTATAGATTACCGGCCGTCTAGGTATATATCGAGATTAGTATCTCTAGTTACAAATAAGATCTACTAGCGGACGGAGTCTTAGGACGAAGAATACGTAGTACGTATTCTCGTATATCGTCTAGTATATAGTAGTAGAAAGCTAACTCCTATAGATCTCTATACCTAAGTAGTCGTAAGACAAGTACCTAGACGGTAACCTTAACGTTGTTACTACTTAGGCGTAACGGGAAGAGCAAATAGAAGGGTCTATCGTCTACGTTAATCTAGATACGAATACTAATAGGCTCGACGAACTCGACGAGTTCGAGCTAATACTATACCTCTAAAAGTCTAACTCGCTATTTCCTCGGCATTGTCGCTAGATATATCCGTCGCGTACCCTAAGAATATAGCGCTTTTGCTAACCGGTTCTAGATCGAATTCGCGTAGATAAAGCTTACTACTATATAGCCGTTTAGTATAGATCGCTTTATCGTCGTTCCTCTATACGCGTATCCTACTATAATAAGCCGAACGGATAGTACCTTCGTATAGAGGGTCCTAGTTAGGTACGACCTGCGGTTATTAGAGGAAATCTATCTTCCTAGCGCTATCGATGCTTTGCTATAATATAACTAACCCTTCGACTTCCCGCAAAACGATAGCTATATTAAATACTACGACTTCTTCGACGTAGAGGCAGGAAGGGACTTCGATATAAAAAGGAGGCTATAGTTAGTATAGAATACTACTAATTTCGGCTATACTTGAATCGATACGGACGACGCGATAGCAATCCTCGATATAGGGCGTAGGAATAGAGAGTTTTATCGTCTAGAGATATATATACGAACGGGAGAGTAGTACGTTTCCTTAGGACTACTATAAGTACGGTGCTCGCGCCCTAGAGATAGACGCTATCGTAACTTAGAAAGAAGGCGGAGGAGCCTAAGTATAGTATCGTAGGTAGAGTAATCTATCTCCTTTAGTCTACAAACTTTCTATACTTATTGTCGTCTCTAGGCTATAATTTGCTCTTACGCGATATCTTCGATAGCGTAGCGACGCGTAGGGTGCATTTAAAGCTATATCTCGTTCTTACTACGCGTAAAGATAATACGCTCTCTAAATAGGCGGCGGTACCGGACAAGTTAGAGGCCCTAGATAGACCGATACGTTTAGTTTTAGTCTCTATCTCGTCTTAGTATAGATAAGAAAGCACGTACCTTAGAAGGCTAGGGTTTTTTTTTTATATATATAAAGTTCTAGTATCCCTAAAATACGCGGCCGCTCCCGCTTAGCGCGGCAGCTCCCGGATATAGGGAAAATTACGTATAGGAACTCTAGAATTCGCGGCTATAGCCGGCCGCCTTACGCGAGCGTAAAAGGATAGCTAATAGAGGATTCGAACCTCTAATACTAAAAGTTATACCCTCGCTAGTCGCTACCCCGTATCTCTATAAGGACTACGAGCGAATAACTCTTACTATCTAGAACCAATCTAATTAGCTAGAGGGTTATAGAATATAGATAATTATATAAATTAAAAAAAAAAGTTGTAGCTAATAAGGGAATTAAACCCCCTATCCGGACGATCTAGTAGATCGTAGATCGCCTTATACTAATTTTACCGTATCCTTAAAGGTACGGTCGGCTAATATATTTAAGCGAATATAGTTCGGTATCTCGCTAACTAGGGCTAGCTTTAAATAACTAGCGAGGGTATAACCTTTAGGACTACCTAATTAGCTAGAGGTCTCTATTTACGTAGCGGCTATAAGCGTCCCCGCTCGCTTAGCTCCGGTTACGTATTAGAAAGCCGCTCCTATCCGACCTCGCCTTTCTTCGCTATAGGAGTATATATAGTATTAGTAGAGAGTAAATAAAGGATTAGCGGAGACGACGCGAGGAGCGGGCGAGGTTTAGGAGAGGGACTCCCTTTTCGCTATTAGGATAGCGCGGATCGATACGTCTTACTAGCATTTCGCGACGCCGAAAGCGTAAGTAGTAAATAGACGACTAGCGGAGACGACGCGAAGAGTAGGCGAGGTTTAGAAGAGGGACTCCCTTTTCGCTATTAGGATAGCGCAGATCGATACGTCTTACTAGCATTTCGCGACGCTAAAAGACTAAAGAGTAAATAGAGGATTAGCGGCGTACGCGGTCGATACAATTTTCGCGGCGGTAGCGAGTATAGGAGAGGAGAGTAAAACATATAGTTAGATACGGGCGATAGTAAGGATAGGACTATTTTTATTTTATTTCTACCGATTTAGGTACTACCGGAATCGCGATATCTTTAGATACGGCCGTTAATTACCTCTAAACTCTAGCTCGTTAATAGCCTTTAGGTATACGTCGCTAACTCCCTACTTCTATAATATCTTAGGTTACTAGTCTATATATCTAAAGCTAGCCTTATTCTACGCCTTCTCTAATATCTAGTAAAGGACGGAAACTAATACTACTACTACTACTAGTAGTAATAGTATAGGCTACCGAGGGTAACATAACCTATAGTAATATAGGTAGCTATGTTTA